AGTGATTAGTACTTGTATTGAGTATGTGTTATAAATATTTATTTTGGTTAACTACCAAGACCAATGCAAACAGTAAACAGTTATTTATGTTTCGCATTATTCAAAAATATCCTAAGACTGATAGTAGCCCAAGAGGGGATTTTGGGATTTATTCAAGCGCGGCAGATTAATAAAAGGGAAATACCTTGCACTCTGTTGAGTACCTCCACCATATCATATTATTCGTCCGTCTATTGTTGGTGTGTGATATATTGCTACTACGACAAATTTTATGTTTCTATAAAAACAATTCTTATCAAGTTATATGTATAAATTTATAAGAATATGGATAGTTAAAATTTCAAGTTTCGAATAAGATTGAATGGAATTAAATTAATTTTTTTTGTCGCCCAATAGGTTAGAATTATGTTGTTTTATTATGACGCAGTAACATTCTCGTAATAAAATCCATTTTTAGCTGCGTAGATAAAAGCGCTTTTCTTTCTTTTACACATAACAACTCTTGAACTTAAAAATCGTTGGTATCTAAAAGGATAATTTTTCAGCTCGGCAAGTTAAGGTTTTTTTTGCATATAGAAATTCCTGCACCTAAAAGTCACTTATTTTCCATTAGAAAACGAAGAAATGATAGATATTCGTACAAACCGACAAAAGTCAGCCAAAATAATTATCTATTTCTTAATCATCCGATTATCGGACGAAAAGCAACATTCAATAGAATATTATAACCGAAACATTGTGTTTGCCTACAGTTTATCTTATCTATATATTCTAAAGAACAAAATACAACAGTAAATTATTAAGTAGAGCCATAGAGATATTATCATTAAATATAAATAGCAGATCGTCACATAAATTCGTATACCAGATGAGATCGAACCAGAAACACTCGAAGCTTATGCTAGGACCCGAGTTTTCAATTTCCGCTTTGAGCGCTTATCATTTTGACATGAGATAACGGTTAACAAATGGAAAATCTATCACAAAATAGTTACTCGATTTTTCAGTCACCGGATAGATACTTAGTAACTATCCGTGAAGTCAGCGGTGTATACACCCCGCGTACCTCATAGAGCATCTTTAAATGCACATCCATATCCATAGTTAATATTCTAAATGTGAAAGTGTGTTTGTTTGTTTGTTTGTTTGTTCTTCTTTCACGTCAAAATAGAGTGACGGATTGGCGTGATTTTTTGTTTGGAGATAGTTGGAGGACTGGAGAGTGGTACTTTTTCTATCACGGAAGATTATCTCATTTCCACGGGAAAACACAAATGTTTGTTTATAATACAACGCAAAAAATATTTATGATCAGAATTACTTGGTATGTATTAATGTTCTTCAATACAATTAAATACATACGTGTTTTAGCATTTTTCGAAATTAGGAATTATTATTTAATTAAAATAGGGATGAAAGTTTGTATTAAACCTTCCTTTTTAGAGTTTTTTCTGTACTTTTAGCGCGAGTGAAGCCGCTGATTCTACTAGTTATATATGAACAGGCAAAGACAAAACAGTTCAGTTCCTTTTTCTCCTCCGGGTTTCAATCCATTTTCTTTTTTTTTTTGTTTTTAGTAGGCGAGATTTAGTGTTACCATTTACCTACCAATAAAAAAATGATCATGATCGAATTTCGAACACTGCCGAGCGAACACTAGTTAATTAATTAATCTAGAATGATTATGTACATTATAATAATTCTAGATGAACATTATTATGTATGTAAAATACTCAAATTGAAGTTTTAGTTAAATAGTTATAAAAATATAACCAAAAAAATATATGCGCAGTTTTAAAATGATGTTATTTCTACGAATATAAAAAAAATACTACTTTAAAAATATTTATGATATTTAAAGTTGATTTATGATAATAATTATATTATTCATCTGATCTATAAATTAAGCATTTCGGTGCAAATAATTTATATTTATGATAATCCTTTGGTCATTTGCTTTAATTAAGCGACCTAGTTATTATGTAAACAGTTTTTTTTTCAGTTTTCAAACGCTATCTAGCGTGCTCATCTATCGCCTTGACCAAATACGAGTAGGTATATATCAATGACGATTGCCATTTCTCATTTTAGCATGTTTTTTTGTTATTATATTGTAAATATAATATAAAATTTTAATATACCTTTAGGCTTTCAATTATAATTCTTATCCGACATTGAAATAAAAGGTTATTTCAATTAAAATAAATTTATTTTTGTATACACCATCAACTCCCAAGTATAGCAAGGTTAAGGTTTAAGTGTTGTGGGCAAAGTAGTGTAAAACATAATAATGACTTCGATGGTTCAACAATCTTAATAGAAAAATCTTAATCATTTCATAAGCAAAAGTTCTTAATTACGAATCTTACGCTGTCTGCCCTTACGTCTATCAACAACGTAGCAAATATATATTTGTGAAGCATAAAGGAAAAAGCTTTAACTGCTAGCTTTTAGCTATGACGACAAATAATAAAATTCAGTAAGGTATTAGTTGTACTAGAGCTTAGACTAGACCCCACCGAAGTGTGTTCCTCTTGTGTTTATTCGGGCTCATTAGCATAGCCGGGCATGAAGCCAAGAGACATACTGGGAGGTGGCCGACTACGGTGGGCGATGCAAAATTATAGCAGAGTGGACCGTGGAAGCAACGACGTTTTTGCTGTGGTTTGCCTCGGCACTCAGCAGGCCTGTCGTCGGGGCGTCGTGGTTGAGTGTATAGGCACGGTAAAGTTATATGTAACATTACCGTGGTGTAGGCAATCCTGCGACTACTAGTTATTCTGGCCGGTGAGTCCCACATATCTGTATGTATGCAGGTGGTATTCGTAAATGCATTTCCCAACGTTTAGAAAAGTGCTTGAACTAACGATAAATATAAAATTTTATTTGTTTTATTGGTATACGAGTATATGTACCTATAACACAAATAATTTGCACATTGCATATTGATGTGTCTATACTCTACGGACAGACTTAATGTTCGAGTCTAACTCGGACTTGACTCGATTTTAAATATTTAATTAATTTATAATTGAGCTTGCAATTTGTATTGAATTATTTCTACTAATAAAGAAAGTATTTCAATATACCTTATTCTACTTTTTATTTATTCAAGGCTATTCCACGATTTACATTTTAAATTTAAAAAGGTTGAAAAGTGTAATTTTCTTCTTTAAATAAGAACAGTAATCATGTATTTTTATTCATTTTGTCTAAAGACGATCACATTGATTAAAGTTAACCTGTCTATTGAGGAAAAAGAGATTATAAGACTTTTCTTTCATGTAGATTTGGTTTATCTGTTTATCTAATGCCGCTAGTTATTCATGGCAGTTTAGTAAGATCTTCAATTACACAGGTCTACGAAATTATTATTTTTTGTAAGTTTTTTCTGAAACTGTTATATTAACACACACGTCCGGATACATATAATGTTGTGTTTGAACTTTGAATAAAATATGTGATGTGGTGTATTTTATTTTTCTTAAAAACCTTTTTAAGTTAGCATAAGTTTCCTTCAGACAAATTGAATGAGCTACAAAGTATTGATGTTTTATTGCCAATATGCAAGAGAACAGGTTTCATGCTTCTTTTTGAAGAGCCACCATTCATAAGCATTTAATTTGATGCCTTTATGTTTTAAGCCACTAATAGCACAGCAATATACTAAGTTATCCTCTTTTTGGAAATACTCTACAAATTCTTGTTTTCTGATTTGATACCAATACAATGTTGTCTAAATGTAGGTATATGTACCTATATAATATATATGCAAATAAAAAAATCATGGTATGATATGTTAAACCAACATTTATAATTGGAATTTTATATGTGGAATTATTACAAAAACGGTTTCATCGCAGACCTGTGTAATTAATTTTATTATTGTTACATTTTCTTAATAGGTAAGTAGGTAGGTGTTATGTATTTATTCAGTGTTTAAATTAGATTAAATTTTTAAAACAGAGATGATTGAGTCAAATTGTAAAATTTAAAATTTTATATTTCGGATTAGGAGCTTGAGGTATTTTTTTTAAATTTGTTGATAACGATTCAAAACGGATTCTAATATTGTTCGTTAGCAGCACAGTGCACTTGCGAGGTCCGTTGATAACCTCGCACCACTTGCCTGCTTGTGCAACCCAATATGCGCCACTCACTCGGCATTGAGCGAGTTAAATCTACTAAAATTTTCAATTGTTTATAAGTAGCTAATTATGTATTATGATAATTAAAGTAATTATTTTTTGAGTTTAGTTTTTTATAATAAGCTATTAGGTATATAATATACTATTTATATTATACATTTTACTAAAACTAATATAATACTTATAATATGGTAGTAATCATTATCTTCCTTTTTTATTTAAGGTCTATCATGTCGGATCCTTTAAATTATAAAATTGGTTTGTGACAATATAAATATTATTTTTTTGTTGCAAGTTGCTATTAGTACACATTAATAATCACTACATAGTATAAAACAAAGTCGTTTCCTACTTAGATCTTTAAAACTACGCAACTGATTTTGATGCGTATGTTGTTTTTTAATAGATAGAGTGATTCAAGATGAAGGTTTATAACTTTATATGTATAACACATGCGTAATATAGTAGAAAAACACTGATAATCTTAGAGGTTTCTAATGTGAAGTCGTAAATAAACACATTTTTTGTGCGCTTACATTGCAAACATTGGCTGAACCCTACGAGATAGATCAAAATAATGTACTACAGTATTGTACACTTTAAAAGGTCTACAATAAAATCCGCGATGGCATATTATGTCTATCTCTTAAAGATAACATACTATATCCATTATAATACATAGGGACGAACCCAAGCGATGCGAGGGTGAGTCGCTAGTTTTTTAGATAATACATACCAAAATGTCTATTTTCTACGCAAGTGTCTATTATGTTTTGCTTTTTTTTACAAAATAAATGTGTTTTATATTTATAAAAAATATATTTAACTGACTATATTTTACTTCTAGATCAGATGGAGTCTAAGGAGTTCAAGGATTTCGCCAAGGCGATGGTGGATTACATCGCCGAGTATTTAGAAAACATACGTGACAGGTACGTAATGCATTTACAATACAGTATAATCCAGGTTAGGATATGCAGTGGTAGCCCAGTAGTAACACGTTTGCTTGGAAAACCAAGTAAAGCGGGTTCAAAACCCGGCTCAAAGCTCGCACCTCTGATATTTTCATGTGCGAATCATTACAACATGTTTACCACTTGTCTTACGGTGAAGAAAAACATCGTGAGGAAACCTGCGTGTCTGAGAGAACCTAGCAAGTTTTCGAAAGACATGTGAAGTCCGCCAACCCGCACTTGGTCAGCGTGGTGGACTATGGTCTGATCCCCTTCGTATTGAAGGAAGGCCCGTGCCCAGCAGTGGGACGTTAAAAAGGTTTGAATACAATAATCCAGGTTAACTAACGAAAGAAATACATGCACAGGTCTTAGAGGCAGGATGAAAATTTATAGATCCATACGACGCGACGTACTGACTTCGCTCCCTAAATATTATTACAATGGCTCCCTAATCTTTGTCTCTAGCTGCAAAAATATAGGACTTTCACATAAATTTACGATAGTCTCTGTCTAAGAGTATGTCATTATTAATAAAAATTGGTTTAAATCTAACAAAACTAACAAACAGGCCGATCGAGTTTAATATGTATACCTACATATATATATGTAAATAGAATAATGACTTTGTTTATCAATTACAGACAAGTAGTTCCATCGGTGAAGCCAGGTTATCTTCGGCCTTTGATCCCTGACCAGGCCCCAGAGAAGCCAGAACCCTGGACCGCAGTGATGGATGATTTAGAGCGCGTGATCATGTCTGGCGTTACCCACTGGCATTCACCACGCTTCCACGCCTACTTCCCTACGGCTAACTCTTATCCGGCTATTGTAGCTGATATGTTATGTGGCGCTATTGCCTGCATTGGATTTACTTGGGTAATTATATTTTTATATATTAAAAATATATTAGCGATTACTAAGTAATATGTATATAGACTATACATATACGTACATTCATACAATCAAATTACTTACTGTTATGTACTTGTAGCATTCAGACTAATAAATCTCAAACATCAAGTTATCACATATATGAATTACATTAACTACTTGCAATACAGAATAATTCACATTCTGTAGACCAATGTCAATGACAAACTCAATGGTTCCGCTGTAAATGCGGACAAGGAAAACAAGTAGGTATGTATGAATTAAGATTTTTTTGTGGTGCTATAATATTGAAATATGTAAACAATCTGTCCTTCTGATACTCGTTTGCTAAATAATTGTTATATAAAATAGGTATATAAAATTATCACGTGAATGACTCAACTTTTTTTAATTTGTGTCATTAGTCTAGTAGGTGGTATGTACGGTTAAAATACGGAGGTCCTGGGATCGAGTCTTTGTTCGGATTCTTTTCGGGGTTTTCCGGGTGAATATCGGAGTTGCATCACTGAACTTTGAAAGATAGAGTCTAGAGATGTGTGTATGCGGATACATACCTATATACACAGTGCAAACCGTCACACTCTAACAATAAATATCTCCTGCGATTCTCGATGAAATGAAAATAAATTGAAATAAAAAAATACTTTATTCAATTCAATAAAAAAATAAAAAAAACCACAATGATCTAAACTCACTGAAAGGTTGCACTGATTAAATTCAGTCTATACAGCCTATTACATCTGAAAAATAGTAATTAATTTTAAATTAAATTATCTTTAACTTTCATTAACAAACCGCTGATGTTATTAAATAAAACTATCTTTTCGGATTATTTCGCGGATTTATTTTGATTTTTGGTTCCCGACGTTTCGAATGCTTTACAGCATCCATGGTCACGGGAGAGACTGAGGTGTTACATGTCTTGAAGGTATAGGTTGTTACAGACAGCAGGCACAATTAACAAAATGAAAATTGCACCAATTAGATGTAATAAGTTCATACTGTGTAGATCAAAATGACAGCTTATCAGATTAATATTTTTCATTTTTCATTTGTAAAAGTATATATTAATAGTGTTGCTTAGTAGGTTGTTTTTTAAATAATAGCAAACTAAATATAATTATTATCCTTAATTAATTTTAACTTTTTAAATTACTATGTGTAATTGAACAATTATATGGCTTAAATAATTAATACTATATTTTATATTTTTCTTTATGGTTATAAATATAATAATGGCAACACTAAATATAGATTACTAATTAATATTTTTAAAATTGTAATAATTATAAAAAAAAATAATAGCAAAAATGAAATAAATAATTTTCCATATTCAATTATAATTAAAATTATAAAAATGTAAAATTCAAAAAATATTGTAATCTAATTGGTGCAATTTTCATTTTGTTAATTGTGGGTAGGCTGTCTGTAACAACTATACCTTCAAGACATGTAACACCTCAGTCTCTCCCGTGACCATGGATGCTGTAAAGCATTCGAAACGTCGGGAACCAAAAATCAAAATAAATCCGCGAAATAATCCGAAAAGATAGTTTTATTTAATAATGTCAAACATTCGCGTAAATCTAAGAAAGTATTATGTAAACCGCTGATGATTAATATGATATCGTACCTACAAATTATGGAGTTAGTCTACGCGTAGGTATACCTATGTTTGTTTATTCTTTACGCTATAAACGGATTTGACGGAAAAGTGGAATGTGTTTTTTAGGACGAACACAAGCTTCTTTTTGTAAACGTGTACATAACGAACCATGACAGTAGAACCACTGTAGTGTGGATCAGTAATGTGGGTAATTCTAACAAGATAATAGGTATTTATAATAGTTTCGTGCACATTTTTTTTTTGGTGGATTTTCATTTCTTATCTGTTTTTGTCGTGGGAACTCGTGACCTAAGCAAAATATTCTACAAAATTCGTCCATAATATTTTTCTACTTTAACAAGCACCATCATGTGGCAGCAGTAGCCCAGTGTATCGCGCTCGCTTAAGAAACCAAATAAAAGCGAGTTCAAATCGCGGTTCTCGCACCTCTGAGAATAGAACAAACATCTCATTATTTATCAGTAATATAAGTTTAAAAAAACCTGATGATTCATGACACTATTTTTTTTTTAGATCGCCAGTCCTGCCTGTACTGAATTAGAAGTCGTGATGTTGGATTGGCTTGGTCAGATGCTTGACTTACCTGAACAGTTCCTTGCTCGGTCTGGAGGAGAGGGCGGCGGTGTGATTCAGGGTACTGCCAGTGAGGCTACACTTGTTGCTCTCTTAGGAGCCAAGTCGCGTACTATGCAAAGGGTAAAGGAGCAACATCCTGATTGGACTGAAGTACAAATACTGTCTAAACTTGTTGGATATTGCAATAGTGAGTTGTTCTTATTCAGTAATTAAAATACGGCAAGGAAATTATGATATTGTATTTTCTTACGTAGTCAAAAACTAAGCGAATTAATTATCTATTTCGCTAGTAATAATAAAATTGCCGATGCCATTTTAACTCAAATATATAAACATTGTTTTTAAAACTACTAATTGATAATAATAACTAAATTCTTTTTTTGTATAGGGTAAGAGTAATTAATTTTGTATTAAAAATTATAACTAGTTGTTACTGTTAAGTAAGCAATATAGTCATAGTCTTGCCATAAATATTGTTACAAAGAAAAAACTTTTTTTTCTATTGCACGTAACATTTACTAGTACCCTGTAATAGTTTACAGGGTACTAGTTTAATACATTAATATAAAATCTTTAAATATATAAAGCTTATTCGAAGTGGTCTCCATTGGCTGCAATACAGTCCTTTAAACGTTGAGGCCAGTTATCAATAGAAGCACGCACTCTTTCCATGGAAAAATTCTTCACTGCCAATCGTATGGATTGTTTTAGGGACTCCAAATTATCATGGCATTTAGAGCCGGCCATACTCTCTAAAACTGACCATAAATCATAATCCAGCGGATTAATATCGGGACTAGATGACGGCCAGTCTTCAGCTCTGATGAAGTCCGGAACGTGGGTCTCTAACCAAGATTGCGTGAATCGAGCTTTATGACCCGGCGCCGAGTCTTGCTAAAAGGACCATTCATCGTTATTGAACATGGTGTTGTTAAGGGGCTTAACTACCTTTTCAAGAATGGTATCTTGATACACTTGTGCCGATGTTTTGATACCTTTTTCACAAAAATATGGCTCAGTCACTCCTTCATAACTATCACCCCACCAATCACATCACTGAAGTCGGATAATGCGCACGTTGTACTCTGTTGACTAATTGGGAAAATTCCTTAGAGTTTTGAGCATAAATACGTCATTTTGTATAATAAAATATTGCTCAATTGTAAAAATTTTCTCACCCGTAAACAAAATTTTTCTGTGACCTCCCTTTGCGTACCGCTTAAGTAGTTGTTTTGATTTTACCACCCTATTCTTTTTTAAATTATCAGTTAAGAAATGACCAGTGCTCTTATAGGCTGCAAGTCACAAGTCAACTTTTGAAATACGCGACATGGTACTAGGTGCTATCTTCATCTCCCGAGATAAAATCTTTTGACTTCTTTCTTTCCCTTACTGCTTTGATCGTCTTTTTCGTACTAACACTACGTGCAGTTCGGCCAGATCTTTTTTTGTCACAAACAGAGGAGGTTTCATTGTATGTCAATAGCCCGGTATACAAATATTATTTGTATTTGGGTCCCTACCTACTTTTTGTAATGCAATCACAGCGATTCGGTTATTTTTACCACGCAACTCCATTTTATTATCACAAAATATTTTACAATGTATTGGCGCGAAAATGAGAAAACACAATGAACAATCATATAAAAATGACAGATTCCAAATTCAAATTTGTAATATTTTGTTTAGTTTTAATTGTAACAGTATTTATGGCCAAAGTATCTATTATGATATAGGTTTTTGTTTGTCTCGTAAATGAACATTAGGGTCATCTAATCACCATTCACTTTTGTAGTTAAAAATTAGAATGCCCATAGCATTAACTATGCCAAATTTTAAAATTTCTTGCTTAATCTTCAGAACAAGCTCATTCGTCCGTCGAACGTGCTGGTCTCTTGGGCGGTGTGAAACTCCGAAGCTTGAAACATGACAACAAAAGAAGCCTGCGTGGCGAAACTCTACAGGAAGCTATTGATGAGGATATTCGCAATGGGCTCATTCCTTTCTACGTAAGCACATTTTTATTATTATTTACATTGTATAATATTTCAATTAAAGCATGGTGCCGATGATATTAGTCAAACCGTTCCTTTTCAAGTATTAATGTTTTTATGATAACATAAGCATATGTAATCTTTTTTTTTTTTTTTTTTTTTTTAACGTTGGGAAATGCATTTACGCACGACGTGTGGGACTCACCGGCGTAATACAGCCAGTACTACCCACTAAAACCCAACAAAACCTTCCCCCGTCTTAATGGGGCGTCGCAGGATCGCTTACGCATTCAACTACGACGCCCCGACGGCAGGTCCGCCGAAGCAGACCATCACAACCATGGGGTTGCTCCACAGTCCACTCTGCTATCAGAGAAGTACCAGGAGCAACCCGCATGGTACACCGCCCTCCGAAGAGGGCCACCTCCCACCACCCACCGAAGTGGGCAACCTCCCTGTGCGTTTCTTAGCTTCGCTACTGCTACTGAGCCCCCCCACCACGACAAGGTGAACGCACGTTGGGGGGGAAGCATATGTAATCTGCTCTAACCTAAATATTATGAGATATTACCCAAATCCTTGATAACTTTAGTAAGGCAAATTTTTAACGTATTATATGTAGGTAATTGTTTTAAATACCTTAAAAATATACAAAAATAATGCAATTTGTTAAGCTTGTAATACAAACGTCTTATTGATAGACGTTATTGTTACGGTGGATGTTCTCTATATTCATTTTAAGTAAAGTACTTTTTGTTCGTTATTTAATTTTATGTTATTAAATTACAATCTAAGAAGTAAATAAATAAATTCGTTTTACGTAACTTATGCAGCCATATTTTGTTTATCTGTTTTTTTGTCACTTAATGAATCTCGAAAAAGAGAGAGAGTTACGTACCTAAGTATGTTTTTTTTAACCATGAACGATTCGTCCATGTTTTTAACTTATAGTAAAATATGAGTTTGGTAATAACGATATTTATAGTATTTTTTCTTCAAGATTTTACTCTGACCTTTATCCATAAAATTGATTGAATATTGTCACGTCCCAATTTACATATTATATTACCTTTCCGGGGTCTCAAACTATCTTCTTACCAAATTTCATCTAAATCGGTTCAGTAGATCCAGAGATTACCCTACAACGTCACAAACTCATAAATTTCAAATTCACAAACTTTAACTCTATAATATTACAATATTATATTAGAATAGATTACAATAACAGCAGCCAATCGAAAATATTTTAAGATAAGAGAGCAATCATATTTTCTTGAGCTTGCTCATTTCCAAAAATTCAATTAGTCAAAGACAAACAGATGTATAGATATTTTCGAAAATTATATCAAAAACCTTTTTATACGTAAACATGTAGTGTTACAATAAAATGTATATATTATTTGCAGGTGGTAGCCACATTAGGTACTACATCATCTTGTGCATTCGATAATCTTGATGAGATCGGCGACGTGTGCAAGGCGCGCGATGTGTGGTTGCACGTGGACGCCGCCTACGCTGGATCTGCCTTTATTTGCCCCGAGTACCGCTACCTCATGAAGGGCGTTGAGAAAGCCGATTCTTTCAACTTTAACCCTCATAAATGGATGTTGGTCAATTTTGACTGCTCTGCTATGTGGCTGAAACAGCCACGATGGATTATCGATGCTTTCAACGTAGACCCTCTTTACTTAAAGCACGACCAACAGGGAGCCGCTCCTGACTATCGCCATTGGCAAATTCCTCTCGGACGTCGCTTCCGTGCCCTTAAATTGTGGTTTGTTCTAAGATTGTACGGAATTGAAAACATTCAAAAATTCATTCGAAAACATATTGCGTTGGCCCATCTGTTTGAGAAGCTGTGCCTTGATGATGAGAGATTTGAATTGTATGAAGAAGTAACAATGGGTTTGGTTTGCTTTAGATTGAAGGGGAGTAATGATACCAATGAGGCTCTTTTGAGGCGCATCAACGGGCGTGGCAAAATTCACCTCGTGCCGTCTAAAGTAGACGATGTTTATTTCTTAAGACTTGCAATTTGTTCTCGATTCTCAGAGGAAAGCGATATTCGTAGTTCCTGGGAGGAGATAAAGGAATCGGCTGACGAAGTTCTTGCAGAAAACTAATGTAGAGGAAATTTAAAACTATTAGATGTTGTTGTTTTAAATTTTAATAGACGTATAAACAATATATAAAAAGTATTAAATCAAGGTACATGTTAAAAATATAGTGAAATTGTTGAAAATTAATTAGTATGAGGAGGTATTAGAATATTTCTTACCATCCTGAAACACAAGAGTTTTCCTCGTCTTTATGTATTTTCCTCTTTATTTACCTGTTTGATACTTAAATTAAAAGCTATTTCTGATTCTTGCCACAATAATAATAGAGTAGGTTGACGTTATGACAATAAAAATGTTGTAAGTATACAAATATAGGTACTTACAGTAGATTGTTGTGTTCTATTTGGACTTTAACTATTATTTGCAGTCTTAGTATTATATACATATAAGTATATGTATTAGGTACTATACACTAGACCAGAGATCAGCATTAAATAACAAGTGAGGTCCATATTATTGAAATGTTAGCTGTATAATCAAAAAGTATTTTAAACGGTCTTCTTTGACCGATTTTTTTCAAGGATAGGTATGATATGCATGAAATAAATAAATATATACGAATAGACAAATAATTGGGCCCAGTGTTATACAGTTGGAGGTCAGGATTTAGTCTGCGGTCAGACTTAACAGACTGCTAGCTGCTGTAATAGACGATAGCAAATAAAATATTAAATACTTCTCGTTATCGATTCATATTTTATTTCATATGAATCGGTCGTATAAATGTATTCTCGATAAAATGTGTAGATATGTGTTGTTGAATTATGATGCTGTGTTTATTTATTCTAAGTATTATTAAATCTATACCTATAAAATCAAAGTCTATTTTATTTTAAAACACCGAAAAATATTTATCTTCTTAATAAAAAAATTAAAATGAAAATATGTGAAAGTAAAAACATTGTTAGGAAAATGTAAAAAATAAATAAATACCAGCAAAAAGACGACATTCTTAGAAAAATGCTACATATTTTAGCATTTTAAGAATGTTACTATTTCTACATTTAGCTTATTAACACCCGATTGCGTGGAAATCCAAAGGAATGTTCTGTTTGATCAGCATGTGTGTATGTATGTAAGTATGTCCGATCCTATATTCCCTCGTAACTCCTAAACGGATGAACGTTGGATTCGTCTCGATGACGTGAGTGCGAGAAGCACTAACTTGCTGCGAGTGTTGTTATGTGTAGGGGAACTTGTTGTACCTAGGCCTGTTAATTTTATAAAGATTAAATAGTAAATAATTAGACGGTAGAACAGACCCGATGTACCTTGGACCGTACCAGTTGTACTTTAGACATATTAGGGTCAAATAAAGATAAACACTTGCAGTTGCCGCTATAGTTTCATTTTTTATTTGACTGCGATAAATGGCCAATCACATCAACCTAACAAACATCAGTGACCTCTAACGTAACAGCAATATTTCAAAAATTATTATCCTATCAACAGTCCCTATATTTCTTTTTACCAAAAGTATCACATTAAATCACATCTTAATCCTAAAATCTATTTAGGTTTTACTTAAAATTAAACAAGATTCAATTTGTATTAGGAAAAAAAATTAAAAATGTATCTTTGACTTCGAGTATGTTCAAATGCACCTATAACATCTTTTAAACCGACATACGGACATAATAATGTTGAGATTAAAGTGTAAATAAACGTTTTTTATATATATGTAGATACATTATACTTAATAAATAGGCTAAAAATAAGTCCAAAAAACTAACTTTCTGAGCAAGAAATAATAATTACCTTTTTAACTTAACTGATGCGGCACCGGCGAATCCCAATTCCTAAAATCCTAACAAGTAACAACCTTTACCTTGGTGTTGACAAAGGATGCATCGACTAGTACCACAGACAATAATTATTTAAAGCGCGGGAGTTTAAAAAAAAACGACTGATCTAGGCACAACACTGTACAAAAGGTTTCACTAATGTATGTTTTTGACTGCGTAATACTATTTTCCTAAGTCAATTTATTTTTATCTTTTGAGTTTGTATTATACGCAGTCAGAATTTTTGTTTTTTCAAATAAAACTTTTTTGGGATCTCTTTCGAAGCAGGCAGTGTTAAAACCATTTTCCCTGTAACCATGCATAACTTCGGCACGCACGACCTTGGGATTCAGAATAGTTTTTTATCGAGGTTGTTTTTTACCGAGTATCTCGCGTGGGTCGTGGCACAACTCTCAATACCTATCGTAGCAAGCTGACGTTCTAATGTTTTAAGGAGTTTGTTTTCCTCCTTATCCGCTTCTTTGTGCTGCTGACTAGTTGGTTTCTACTGACACTGAGGTCTCGTACCCGACAAGGTAGATTAACATTCGGAGGGAACTCAGGCCTAATTTACACTATTTGTATCTTCATTACTACTTGTTGAGAATGACGCAAAAAAACGCGCAACATAAAAATAGTTATTCTTAATATTAGGCAGATATCTTAACAGGTAGTTTTATTTAAGAAGGTATAGTTACAGAAAAATTAAATAACAAATTCAGATGAATTTACAAAATGAATGATGAATATAATATAAAATCATTGCAGTGTGTTTTAGGAGTAGGTACTTACTAAGAGAATAAATAGGTAGGTCAATCCAAGAGCAAAATGGTCGAACTAAAGAGTACTCTATTAATAAATATATTATATAATAGAACAGTACTTTCTTAGCGAAATCTGTACATTAAATGTATTTTTTTTAAATAATGACCCAAAACAATAGTTATTAAAATTTTTGTCTGTAGCATCTGTTGGTGTGTGCGCGTTTCACGCAAAAAGTAATGAACCGATTTCAACGAAATTTGGTAAAGATAACTTATTACTCGGGTCAACATTTAGGATATCTTTTACTTCAGGAAAATCTTTCTTTTCTACGGGAAAACACAATAATGTATGTATAAATAATAAATTACTTATCCTATTTTACATATTGGCCACTTAAGATTTTCAAAAAGAGGAGAATATAACAATCTTCTTGATCTATGGACCCTGTCTGTTAGACATTCCAAATTAGGTAAATAGTTATGGTACATTTTATTTTCAAAAAATCGCTTTTATAATTATTTTATTCAATGGATGAAAATGAAATTGTTACGTGTAACGAATTCGTGGTACAAGTATAGGGGCGTTGGACTCACAGACCAGATATTTGAAATATTAACGAAATCGTGTAGAAATTTTAGTAACGCTGTAAGTACAGCGGGACAGGAATGCATTTTAGATTCCTGCAGTATCAGTCCAACATGCAAGGAACCACGCGTTATAATTGTGGGCGCTGGAATGGCGGGCTTGTCAGCTGCAAACCGTCTTACTCAATGTGGCATACGAAATTTTATAGTCTTGGAAGCTAAGGAAAGGTACATTTTTTTGGTCGTGATAGAAATAATAATTAAATATATTTGAAATGTTTTATGAAAAATGAAATTAATATTAGATTCATCCTATTTACCTAATATCTTTTTATGACTACGGCATATAATATTACTTTGATTTTTTTGCTTACCATTATTCTGAATAATACTATTATTTTTCTTTTAAATAAAAACACATACAGTTCCTTTTGCATCTATTAAAATCCAATATATCAATTTGTTTTTAGACCAGGCGGCAGAATACATTCGTGTTGGCTGGGTGATGTAATTATTGAAATGGGTGCCGAATGGATTTATGGAGCTTGCTTACCTAATTCTATATATACATTAGCATCACAAGACAGACTACTACAATCACCGTTACCGCGACTGGATTCCACAAAAGGCTTATTTTGCACCAGTGAGGGCCGTGCAGTTGATTTACCTGTGACAATAACAGCTTATCATACATTCAGGCAAATAGAACAACAAGCTGCAAACTTATTTCGGTTAGGCTGTGAAAGGCAGCATGGCACGCTACTTAATTTTATAGGTTTGCGTATTCAACAGGAATTACACAACTTTCCTGAAGACCAGAGGAATGACGCGGCCAGGGTTATGTTTGGATTAACAAATATCCTCAGAAACAAATGCGGGGATGATTTATCACTTGTAAGTGCCGATCAATATGGAAGTTATATTGAGCTACCCGGTGGCAGCGTACGGGTTCCATTGGGATATGTTGGTGTTATAGCACCATTGCTGCGGGGCTTGCCCGACAATTGTATTCGCTATAATAAGTCCGTCAATGTAATTCGTTGGGGCAAAGGACAAACGGGAAGCGGTCGTGTTTTAGTCAAATGCTGCGATGGTGAAGAGTTAAATGCGGATTATGTCATCATTACGATATCTCTAGGATGTCTAAAATGCCAAGCAGATAAACTTTTCGCCCCACCACTCCCTACGTGCAAGTTAAGCGCTATATGTAGTCTGGGTTACGGCTTAAGTGACAAAGTGTTCCTGGAATACGCTGAGCCATATTGGGTTTGCCATGAAGGTAACTTGAAATTAGCATGGTCACCTGAGGAGCTACAAAGCAGATGTGATTGGACCCGAGGAATTTGTTCAGTGGACGAATTGCCTGGCAGTAAGCATGTATTGTGCGCTTGTATTTCGGGACAAGAAGCCGCTGTAATGGAATCAATGTCAGATAACGATGTTGCTGAAGGGTTGACATGTCTATTACGAAGATTTACTGGTAACCCTTGTTTGCCATATCCTCAAATGATGTTGAGATCCCGATGGGCTTTGGACCCTCATTTTTGTGGAGCTTATTCGTATATGAGTTGCAGCTCTACTGTGAGCCACCAATGTGAACTCGGTACTCCAGTGCCGGGCCCCTGTGACTCGCAACCTCCGATACTTCTATTTGCTGGTGAAGCAACAGTACCTGGTCATTTCGCTACTGCGCATGGCGCTAGATTGAGTGGAGTTCGCGAAGCCGAACGTATCATACAATTGACAAAAAAATTTGATGGTCCTCCGCGTTGAGCATACTGTGATTTACTTTTTATATTGTCTATTTTATTGGTTTTATGATAAATTTTATATTAACAGTTGACACATGCTGTATTATATGTTCTGCTTTTCCTTCGCCAAAGTAGCATAATAATGAGTTCCTATTACATACATAGTTTTACTATTAAAAATACAAACAAGTAAAATCAATAGATACAGAAATTCTAAATTAAATTTAAAAAACTAAAGAACACGCTTTAATGATGAACCGAGCTAAAAAGCAAAAAAATATTTTTTGTATTAAAATAGTGATTAACGAGAAAATTAATGTTATTGTGAAAAAATGAGGGACTTTGTAAAATATTTTTATACTAACTCTGCTTTTATAAATTGGTACAATGGAATATTCAAATAGGAATTGATATCGAGCACGGAGCACCCCACGTTTTTTTCACAATAACATTTATTTTCTCATTATTAACTTTATTCATACACTAAAAAATATTTTCCATATTTTAATTTGATCTCCTTTAAAAGCGTGTTTTTTTTACTTTTTTAATAAATTAAATAATTACATATTTTATATTAAATTATTGTATTGTCATTGATCCTTGATAAGTGTGCTAAATTTCAAGTTAACTGATGTTTTGAAGTGGGTAAAAATCGCGTTCGAAGATTCCGTTACATATATAGACCGATAGATTGAAACAGGTTAAGCGAAAGCTAATAAAAGCGTGTTAATAATATATGGTTATAAGCAATTCAGATTATGATATTAAAATTAAACAGAAAATTTGTATAAATTGAAAAGCAATTTATGTACATTAAGATCTTTATTAATTAGAATAGAAATACTGATATAAGATTCACAAGGAGATTTTTCAACAAGCATTACAAATGCAAGCTTATATCACATAAATTAAGTTTTTTTTTTACATTAAAGAATGTAATATGAACTTTTCTACATTTTTTTTATTCTAACATTTATATCCCAATGGGTAAGATATTTTGTAGACACATTTATAATTTTTTTAATACTTGGTTTTATTTCTATTAAATATTGCCTAAAAACCACACTTAAATATAAATAAATAGTACCTATTCAGTTTAATATCTAAAAATATAATAATATGTAAAATAAAGTAATAAATTAGTCTACATTGTAACGGGATCTTACAAACTATATTTTAAACCTCTGAGAAAACTTCCACCATCACATGCTAGACGAAAAATGTCTTCAAATAAGAATTTAATAATGCCATTCATGTAGCATTTGTCTCTCGTTTGTACAGCATAGTAATGTGGACAATAGTTAGCATAGGGCCAAGTAAATGTTATTTTATAATTATGGTTCTTTTTAAGTATAACAGGTTTATCAAATGTTATGTCAATGAGAGAGTCATATTCTACATTCTTTTTAAATTGCATTTTTCTGACAATACTATTTTCTGCTTCACTAAAAATGGTGATAGTAAACTGCTCATTATAAAGTTTTGCAACAGGGTTGACATATTCAATCACTGATGTCATTCTAGATGGCACATTTAAAGAACTTATTGCGACAGTTTCATTGATATTAATCCTTGTTTGCACTGTGGTATTGTTTAGATTTATTATTATAGGAGGTTCAGATCTGATTGGTGTTCGCTGGCAAATTTCCCACTGAAAACTTATTGTTTTTCGTGGAATAAATTTATTGTCTAAGCTGCCTAAAATTTTTTCATTAACAGTCATAGCTGATATATCAAATTTCTCTATATCCTCTACTTCATAGGTATTCAATAAATTATCATTATAATTAATTACTTCTTTCATATCATTTGGAGAGAGACTATAAAATCTCAGATGTTTAAAGATACCATTTTTATCTAAAACTTCTCTTCGATTTACTAAAGTATTTTTAATGTCATTTTGTTCACAATAATAGCTTGTCCATTCAAATACATGTTTTATCAGATCCTTTTCAGTAATGTTCATCTCATTGCTTTGAACTATAATTTGCATGCAAACTGGATTAATACTTTGTGTATGTTCTTGAAAAAGATATTCAGCATGTTTACCGAATAATCTCAATGCACATGAGACAACTTCTTTATCTTGCATATAGTCTGGATAATTCAAAATACTAATGACATTATCAATATTTATATGTCTTATTAAGTATGCTGCGCATGCTTCTGTCAAGTATTCCAGCATATACTTTCTTGAAACATACAATAAATCATAGGCCTCTTCAACAGATTTTATTTTTATACTATCAGTATATATATAATTTAGTAAGGTCTGAAATATGTTTGGCTCAATATCTGTTATAATAATAGCATCATTGCTGGATAAAGGTCCATAAAACATTGCCTCAAAAACTGGACTAGTAATTCCTAATATTAGTTTATGAGCTTTAAATATTTTGCCACTTATTAAAAAACTACAATCACTCAATTCATAAGATTCTAATAATTTATTTATCCGGGCACTTATAGTATTATTTTCGGGTCCACTTATTTTAAAAACCATCTGAAAATAAAAAATTATACATAATTGAACATATGCTATAAACATGTAGTACTTTAAAACTAGTAAAAAGAAGAATAAAATATTAGTGTATAATTCCATCTATTATTATCATAAACAAGTTACATATAACGGTAGATATTCTTCAACCTGTTTTTCAATTAACCTTGAACTTGGGATATGACCAGGGACATTATTTTAAAACAGTAAACACTAACTTCAAATTCAATCAATTATTTCATATTAAAAATTGTAGGACACTAACTTTAAATATATTTAACAGCAGTTTAATAAACAAAATTATCGAGAACTGCTACGTTTAACTTTATTCACTTATAAAATCTTTATTCATTCACTCACGCCTTGCGAATGTTTGCAAAGTGCAAACAAACATGAGCAATGAGCAATATTCAGCTCGTGATCAACGGTTGATGATCAACAGGTAGGGTAACCAATTAACACAAAAATTTCAAAAGAGCATTTTTAAATATCTTTTATAAAAGTGATTTCACCTACAAAACAATTTTCTTAGGACGGTGTGCTGCATAAAATGAAATAAACAGCTTTCTAGAAATCTTATATTTTTCAATATTCAGTTTAGGTTTTAGAAATCTTGGTGACTTTGTGTTGGTTATTGTCAAATATCGTAAATATCATGTACATATATAATATAAATTATCAATAAAACTCTTAGTTATAAAATAAATGTTTATATTTTGTACGTACTTTCCTTCTGACTGGTTTTATTGTTAGCATTTCTTGTGGTAACGGGATAACTAAAAAATTACAAATATCAAAATAAAAAATTAATTTATATTTCAGACAGTGGCGCCACTGTACTTTATAAAGTATTGATCGTTTCTCTGCTTACTTGTAAATTGTAATACATTTTTTTAATTTGATCTTGATTTAAACGCATGCTCCGAGAAAAACTTTATAGAATGTTATATATTACTAATTATAATATAAAACATACATTAAAGTATGTATTTATATAGCTGATATCGTGAGCTGTTACGACTACACATTATTATAGTAATACTATTTTTTTACGTAAGCGCGGTAAGCCATCAGCCATTTAAATGGGCCGTGAAATAATGTCCAAGACTCCAAGTGCCCAGTGGTGAGCACAAATTGTAAGACGGCTACTCACATCCTTGCAGCGGCAATATACGAAGCACGGCGGTTGGATCGGATCTGTCACTGTACACATGCCTGTTATTCAGTGTTCGGACTTCGGGTAGAAGTTGAGCTAACAAACGCGTTAAGAAATAAGAATTTATGTATGTAGCAATATACTCTATGAATAAGAATTAAGAATGGTCCCAGTATTATCGAAAAATTTAAAGACAGTGTTGCCAGTACTTGAAATTTTATCTCTCTAAGAGTAATTCCAAAAATTCCTAAAACCCCATATACCTAACTAATAATTATTTGAAAAATGTAGTTTTTGTCTAATACTCACTTTATTTATTTTTTACATTTTTAATTTTAAATGATTACAAATAGCGTAAAAAACTTATTTATGGTTATTATTATAATAATTATATATAAGAAATTGAAGCGAGAGCGTAGCGTGCAGACGTCTAACCTATTATATAAGATACTAGCGGCTCACCCTCGCTTCGCTCGGGTACACGAAAAACACATACAGATCTATCCCACGGGAACCGTTCATTTTTCCGAAATAATGAATTTTCCGGATGAAAGTAACCTGTTGTTTGACCGGCAATATAAGGTATCAGCATGTCAAATTTTACTAAATGAGGAGGATAAGTTGTTGTGTACTAAGCTGTATAAGTTACTATAGTTTTTTACTAACTATTGTTTGGTAACTATGTTGTGAACATAATACATTACAAATAAACAAAAACATCTATCCCACGGGAACAGTACATTTTTCCGGGATAAAAAGTAACCTATTTGTTATTCTGATGTATGAACTATATATATTATTGTAAAGTATCATCAAAATCCAATCAGTAGTTTTTGTGTACTAAGCTGTATAAGTTACTATAGTTTTTTGACTATCCCACGGAAACTCTTTAATTTTCCGTGATGAAAAGTATCTAAGATGTTGCCCGGGAATATAAGGTACCACCATGCAAAATTTCATTTAAATCGGTCCAATAGATTCGGAGATTAACCCGTACAAACAGGAAAACAGACAAACAGCTCGTTCGGGTTCGTCCATACCTACGAATATGTCGTATTATCTCTTTAACCATTTGTCCAAATTATATGCAGTAAACTGGAAAAGTCTTTTGTTTTAAACATTTTAGACGATAAATTTATTTATTTTGATAAGAATTCTTGATAATATGACCAATAAACATGACCTACCGATTTAAATTATTTTTTTAATATAAAAAACTACTTTTTGTGACTTAAATATAAAAGTTAGACATATGCTGTCGCTGACTTTTTTGTAGGCATTATTAAGCTCTACAACTTTTCTCTAGAACTTCTAATCATTTATCTCTCATCGTTAAGGCAGTTTTTTCTCCGACTTACTTTGCAAATCCGACTACCACAAAAAATCCTTTTCATTTTTCGGGTTAATATATAGCCTATGACACTCAGAAAGAACGTGGCATTTTATTGGTAAAAAAATTTTGAAAATCGGTTCAGTAGATCCAGAGATTACCCCCTACAACGTCACAAACTCACAAACTCACAAGATCACAAACTTTACCTCTTTATAATATTAGTATAGATTTCCCGCAGTACACGTCAATTATGGAGAAAAACGTAGAGTGGAGTAATGATGATTCATTTAATTTTTGTTGTCATTGCTAACTCGTTAATGTATATAAAACTAGCAATTATAATTATTTCATCGTCGTCCAAGCAGATGTTCTATACACACCTATTGATACATACTTGTAGATGAAGCGGAAGAAATCTATGTTTTCTGATTAAAATATTGTGTACCGATGAAAAGAAATATTTTTGTTCTTTTTAGTTTGCTTCGGTGAATCGTTTTTACAGATTGGAACTGCACATTTCACCATGATTACATAAATCTGAATAAATACGGACGAGAGAAACAATCAGCGCGCATGTCTTTTCGTGACTAATAACGTCGCCCTTGACATTTCGAGACTGTTCATACCCGTGCTTACAGTTCATACTTGCTTACGCGCGCTCTATACCTTATGTCATGAACGAATTAACAATTCGTCCATGCCTCATGTATACTCTTAGACCATTACATTAAAAATATTGATATATGTTTAATTCAAAAGCAATAAAGATTAAACAAAAATATATTTCATCTTTATTTAAATTACACGCATATTCCATATTACCTAAAACTTACTTAAAATTATTATTAATTGTTAATATGATGTAGTTGACAATAATTATTAAAAATAATTTGCATAATATGAAGAATCATCTTCGATACTCTTCAGTTATCACCACTAATTTTCAGAGCTTCTTAATAAAGTACGTTTTCCAAAATATATTATCCCTAGCGACTTCGCTCGGGTTGGTCCCTAGGTTGATTCCACATAAAAACATTCATCCCCATTTTCACCTCCTTAATTAAGGGATAAAAGGTATCTTATGTCCTTCCCAGGGCGAAAAAAATTTATTTTAGTAAAAAAAATCTTTTAATTTTCTTCTATAAATACTTTGTCCTGACATTATCAAACACAAAAAAAAGAATTATCCAATTTGGTGCTATCGATCGGAAGTTATGCGCGTACATACATTTCAGTGATTCATTTTTATTTTTTCATTACCATTTTTTTATAATAAATAAAAACAATTTCAACTTTAACATCTGAACTTGAAATATTTATTAAGTAATAAAGTATTACTCTAGCAAAAGAAAAAAGAAAGAACATGAACAACAAGAAATGAACTAGCATTGCCCTCGGCTCCGGCCGCGTTCAGATGACCGAGAACCAAATTCTTAGGTTTTACACATTAGTATAACTCTTACATTGCAGTTTTTGTATTTCTTCTCAGAAATGAGATATTTTCCCGCGGTAAAAAATCCTATATGTTGACCCGGATAACCAGCTATCACCATACTAAATTTCATCAAAATCCCTGCAGTGGTGATGCGGTAACAAGCAAACGGACAGACAGACAGACAGACAAAAATTCTAAAAAATATAGATTCGGCCTCTGTATCGATAATTATGTTTATTTCAATAAGATTTTCCAAAAAATATTTAATGTACAGATTCGGCTTAGGTACAATTTTATTATATATATAGGTTATTTTAGATAAACTGGTGTTTGAGTTTCTGTTTTGTTTTTTTAATCTATATTAAGTACTAAGTTGTGTGTGTTATCTGTTGACTATTCAAGTTTATAGTGGCGCGCCGGTGTAGCTGTATTACAATTTAAATGAAAATGATAGAAATATAAAAATGAAAATTGATAATTTTGTTTTTAAATACATTGCTGGTAACAATGGCCTCGACATTTGATGATACAGTATTAGACTTTGATTTAAATTTTCTACAACAGCCAACTAGTATTGTGGTAAGATTTAGGTTATAATAAGTTTTCATTAATAAAATCCGCAACATTATGTTTTTTTCCAATTATAATCATTTATAATACTTTGTTTTAAAATTATGTAACTTTAGTACTATTTCAATTAAAAAGAATTAATAATAGCCATAGAAGTAGATTACTATTTTAAATGTTATTTCTATTTTTTTATATAAATGTTAAGTATTGACGTATATCAGATTTCTGTTTAAAATGATTTTTCTTTTTTCAGAATGATTGCAAATTTGATAAACAAAGAAAAGCTGTTTTAATTGCAAAAAAGAAGACAGTTGCCACAGAGTGAGTAACAAACGTTTTAAATGTTAAGGCATAAAGTATGGTGATATACTAAAGTTAAAGTACCTATTATAAAATTTAATTTGGTGACATGTTTTTCAGTTCTTTAATAAGAAAATATTATGCAAAAAATGAGAAATTAGAACAAACCGAGGTTCTTCTTTTGGCTGCTAAGGAAGAATGTAAACAAGTTTGTATTGATTATAAAGAAACATTAGAAAGATGTTCACAACTGGAAAAAGTATGTTTATAGTTAATTAAACTTAAAACATTATTTATCTTAAGCAGCTGAGCAAATTAGCTATATAATATAAGTAACATACCTTGTAATTAATTGGTTATCTTAGTTTCATAACTGTAATCATAGAGTATCTATAGAAATAAAGTATAACATTTAGTATTCTAAATTCAAAGAAATGAATAAATGATTTTTATATTATTACAAATTCAAATAAAATTAATAAATAATTATTGTAACAAAAAGTACTACTACAAAATAAAAGTAACTAAAAAGTACTAGCACAAACAAATTATTATTTTTAAACCAAAACTATATTAGAAATAAATTGTTAAGCTGTTTTTTTATAGGCTAATGAAAAACCTGTGGCTTTCTTGTTTTAGGATGTCCAATTACTTAAAACAACAAACAAAGAGTTAGAGGATAGCAGTATTATATCAAAAACTCAGTGTGAAGCGTTAAAATCTCATGCCCATCAACTTCAGGTAAGTAGATAGAACTAATAAATGTAATATTATATTCTACTTAGTCAAATGTGTAGAAAAATACATTTGATGAATTAGAATTGATTAGAAAAAAGATTTGATTGAATTTTAGTTTAAATATTATGGATTTAGATATGAGAGCTTTACAAATGCTACAGACAAATTAGAATGGTTCATGTAAAATTGAATTCTTACAGGTTCTGGTTAAGGAGCATGAAACAGTTATTGAAGGTTTAAAAATTGAGAATCATTTAAACAAAAATAATGGAAAGGGTTATGAAAAGAAGTTGTCAGATCTTCAAAAAGAGAATGAAACAATCCTTAAACATTTATGTCTTGTCAAAGATATAGTGTTTGGCAAAAGTAAGTACATATTATGCACTATATACATATGTACATAATATATTGTTACAGTGTTATTTATAACAAAAGATAAGTTGTCCAAAACTATTTAGTAAGTTATTTTAAATATTCTAAAGTTGAATTCATTTATTATCATTCACCTTTTTGACTGTTTTGTATCCAAGTATTGATCAATTTTCAGAAAAATTAAAAAGAAGTCATAAGTTGTTGTTACAAAAGTATGATAAAATAAAAAGCAAAATTGATGTGGAAGACTCTTCAGAGGAAAGCGCTGAGGAAAATGATTTCTTCAATAGTTTACCACCCTCACCCATGTCAGTACAAGATATCGCAGAAAATAAAAAAGAGGTAATTATTAAAAATTTTAGTATTGTCATTGTGTGCATAAGATTTTAAATAATTGCTGTATTCAATTCAGTTTTAATAATAATAATAAATATATATATATATATATATATATATATATATATATATATATTACTAGCATTGCCCTCGGCAAATTCTTAGGTTTTACATATTAGTATACAGTACATTGTAGTTTTTGTATTTTCTCTCAGAAATGTAACATTTTCCTGTGGTAAAAAGGATTCTATATGTTGACCTGGATAACCACCATACAAATTTTATCAAAATCCCTCCATTGGTTTTTCAGTGATGCGGTAACAGACAGACAAAAATTCTAAAAACTATAGATTCGGCCTCTGTAACAATAATAATGTCTATTTTGATAAGATTTTGAAAAAAAATATTTAATGTACAGATTTGGCTTAGTTAGAATTTTATTATATGTATAGATTAAAACATCGATCATAAATTCTGTCTGCGCGAATATGCTCTTATATAGCTTCATTTGTATACTAATGAAGCAAGACAAAGTCTTATAATAGTTTTATTTTCAACCTAATCAACACCATAGCACCTCGTAATAAAGTCACAAATCTTCAAATTAACATCATACACTTACGATCATTTCGTAAGTTTTATAATCTTTATAGTAGGGGAGCCGAAGAGGGGATTTTCTGTAGTTACTCGAGCGCGGCAGATTAACATAAAAGAGGTTACCTTGCACTCTATTGAGTACTTTCACCATAATATAAGTCTTCTATATAAAGGGGCGCGTCTAGGGAAGCCGATTAAAATATTTAAAAAATGTTTTGATGAGGTAGAAATACTTGAAACCGTCAGATTAAGCTGTGGTAGGCTAGTCACATCCTGAAAAGTGTCCAATTCAATAATCTGCCGATTTGCACAAGCCGAAGAGGCAAAAATCGACTATAAAGTTTATGATGATTTTTGCCTCTTAGGCTTGTGCAAATCGGCAGATTATTAAATTGGACACTTTTCAGGATGTGACTAGCCTACCACACCTTAATCTGACGGTTTCAAGTATTTCTACCTCATCAAAACATTTTTTAAATATTATAATCGGCTTCCCTAGACGCGCCCCTTTATATAGAAGACTTATATTGTGGTGAAAGTACTCAATAGAGTGCAAGGTAACCTCTTTTATGTTAATCTGCCGCGCTCGAGTAACTACACAAAATCCCCTCTTCGGCTCCCCTACTATTATTGTAAAATCAACCGTATATTTCAAAAACGTAAAGCACTTTTTCCTGTTGTTGCTTTGCGAGCTAAATCGTTATGTTTTGTTTCTATTTGCTTCTTTGAATTTGCGCATATATTGGCCGACCTGCGCCAACGTTCTTAGCGGATTTAAAGTTGTTCAAAATTTTATTTTTATATTATTTCGTAGGTTAAATATTAAAATATTGACTTAATCTACATGTACTTATCGAAAATAAGACATTCTGTACGAAAAATATCTTCTTTGCGTATTATTTTTGCAAATTTTAAATACACATTGCGGCCTTGTAAACGTTTTTACGTTGGCAGTGTTACAATAGAATTAATCGAAATATACGCTCACTTTTCAAATGAGCTGATATTTACCGAGACGGATTTCTTACGCCGACCCGATATCTAGTAGTATTGTTGATCGAAGTATATATATATATATATATACGTTTGATAATATAAACTTGTGTTGTGTTAGAATAATTCTAAATAGTGTATATTATATATGTTAATTTATTTTTATTATTATATTTCAGATTGTATTGAACTTAAATGAAAAAGTTAACATTGATAAAAAAGGTAAGTTTATCAAATACTTGTGGTCTTTATCCGTTTACTTCAATGACTTTATACTTTTTTATGTTTTAAATAAGTAAATGGAATTACATTTCATTTATTTATTAGTATTGTGCAATGTAACAACTCGCAAGGTAGATAATGTATTTATCTAAGAAGTGTTGATTTGATGCCACAATAATTTAAATTGTTTCAGTTATTGAAGATCATGAATCCGATTATAGTAATGAGGTAGTAAGTGAAGACACTGGCCGAGGTTCATCCCTAGCATTTTCAGATGGAGAGAAGTGCTACAATAGTCCCGATTATTGCCATGCTGATAGTCCATTTACTACAGATACCAGTAAGGTTAAAGGAAGAAAAATATACATTGATGTTGGTACAAGTCCCTTGCATAGAGAGTTAGTACACATTGCAACAAGTCCAGTTATGTTTGATGACGAAGTTTTTATATGCAATAACAGAAATAAAGAAGTTCAAAATGAATCAAGCAAACTTGAATATATTATTAATGAAATTCCTCTTAGTTCTGATATTGTTACAATTAAAGAAAAAAAGAAAATGGTTGATGCTGCTACAAGCCCAATGCAATGTGTTGATAAAATTAATGTATCTACAAGCCCTGTAATGTTTAATGAAGTTAATATAGCAATAAGTGATAATTTAGAAAATCATGTAATTTCATCTAAAGTTTTAGAAAAAGTTCATGCTTCAACAAGTCCTTTGTTATTTGAAGGAATTGATCTTAGCAATAATAGTGAGGTAAATTCAAAAGAGCTTTCAATGCAAAATATCATTAGTGTTAGTGACAAAAGTATGATACATAAAAGTAGTTCATATGAAACATCACATGAAGTTAGAGAAAATCCAATAAATAATATAGAACCAGCTATTCATATTCAGGACTTAACAAGTCAGTGTGAAATAGAATTTAGTGGTAAAACATCATCAGTTGAAGAGAAGAAGTGCTTGGAAAGAAACAATAGTAACAATATATACAATGAAACTGTTGATGATGGAGAAATTGAATTGATATTAAATTCGATGCGTTTTACTGAAAGGCTGATAACTCCAATTCCAAAGACACCTGTTAAATTAATTAAGAAAAAATGTAGACAAGTAATATCTCCTATATTAGAAAATACTGCACCTTCAAAGGAACATATGGTTTGCATTGATGCATTAAAATTAAAAGAAGAAAACAGAGTTCTAAAAAGTAGTATATCTGATCTTAGTAAGGAAATTATAAATATTAAACAAATATTAAAAAATCGAATGTTGATGCCCGAATCACCTAAAAAACAAGAAAATGGTAAGACCAAGGCATTGATGGCTGATTTATTTGATGATTCTAGTCAAGAAAAAATAATTTTAAGTGTTGATATTGAAACTTATAGTGATAAAGAGAAAATTTGTGAAAATGTATCCTCCAGTGAAAACCTTTATAAAGAATCTACACCACCTAGGGTTTGTGAAGAAGGTAATATAATGCAAAATGTTGCAGTATTAAATGAGCAAGATTTACAAATAACTCATATGGAATCATTAGACAATCATATATTATTACCTGAAAATAACATTTCAAGAGATAACTCGCCTTCCAAAGATGGCACTGATATAATATTAGATTTGGAAATGGATACTAAAACAGCTAAAGAAGATCATTTAACAAAGCGCAAAACATGTGAAGAAATTATAAACTATGTAAATAGGGATAAAGAAATTAATTCGCAAGAACATGACAATAACGATTTTAGTGACACTGAAGTTGTGAATGATGGTAAAAGAAAAAGAAAGGCGCATAGTCATAAATTAAGCAGGCTTGAAAAGTTCAGAAAAAAATTATTACCAAAAAGTAAAATTGCTAGTACTAAAGCTCCAATTAAAAAATTACGTGCAAAATCTAAGATGCCAGCATCAACAACAAATCAGCTACATCAGAATATGAATGGATTGTGCAATTCAAAAGCACCTTTAGACAACCAAACCGCATATGAAAAAGCAGTAAATGTTATGAAAGAGTTGAAACTAAAAGAAAAAAATAAGGACCATGAAATTAAGAAAACAAAGGCAATAGAAAGAAAAACATCTGAAAGTGAATCTAATGAAGCCTTGAATTCTAAGAAAGACAATACACTTAATAATGCTGTCAAACAACCTGTTGTTTGTTTGTCACAGTTAAATTTAGATGAAATGATGAATAAAAGTGGTAGTGATCATGACTTAAGTGATTCAGAAATAATTCATTATGTTGTCGAAATAGTTGATTCGCCCACTAAGAATTATATGACAAGGAGTCGTAGTAAAATTAGCGACCAAGATTCTATTCTATCGAGCAGAAAATCAAGCACAGAATCTATTTCGAAGGCTACAGATGAAAATTATAATGTATGTGACAGAACACCGCCAAGGAAAAGATTAAAGCGCACGTCATCGGGGGATACCACCGAAGTATCTTGCAAGAGGGTGCTACGAAGTACAAGCATACGAGAAATGCTAAACAATCATGCCAGTAAAGAATCAAATCCAGATATCCCTTGCAATGGTTCTCCCGAATATATACATAAACTACCTCAGAAGCGGAAGTCAGTTGATTCTGAAGCTACACAAAAAAATTGTCCTAGTAAAAATTTAAGTAAAATGTTTCCAAAATCGAATGAACCTTTCTCCCAATATGATCTCAATGAAGAATTAGAGGATTCACATGTTGATGAAACTGTTGGTCCAGAAAACCATCTAAAATATAGCATACTTTGCAAAATGATAGATAAATATGGGAAAGCTAGAACTAAATTTAATGCTAAAAAAGTTCCTGGTAAGTTTTGTATTTCTTTTTATACATAATTTCGTTTTATAAATAATACTGAATTATATTCTGATTAATGTTATACATTTTTATTTACAGATAATATAGCAAATTCTATATGTAAAAAGTTAGAAGATAGTATAGCACATATAATAGAATTGCCAGCAGAGAAAGCTAAGATAGCGATGGGTAAGCTTGTAGAAGATATTCAGCAGAATTGGAATTTGAAAAACTTCCTCACTGGATTCCTCAAGTACCTAAAGGACCCGGCGAGGAAAACGGAATTATATAACAAAGTTAGTTCGCCGCCCGCGCCCCCTATGACCAAGTCTGAACAAGTTGTCCTATACATTATTAAGCACTTGAGTACATCTGTACCAGATATCGTCAATATTATATTGACTCAAATGGAATTCACTCTATTTCAATTGAATAAGAGCCCCGAGTTTGATGTCATAGAGAGTTTGTCGCATGTGTACGCTCTAATATGTCGATACTTTGGATTGAAAATGCGTCTCCGTCTGTTTATACTGGACGCTATGTATTGTTTATCATTTAAAGTGGTCCCACTGATAAAGCAATGTTTAGATGTATGGATGCATATTTTGCCCTTAGCTCATATGGGAATTGGTAAGTGAATAAATAGACATTTAATTTGATACTTATTTCTCTATTGCAGTTACATACTTATTTCTGATTGCTATGTTTGTTTATAATTGCATTTTTTTAAATTAACTGTTAGTTGTATTTACAGATTTATTAGTAACATTTTTTTATAAATAAATAAATACCTCTATCTACTCTGCAAAATATGTGTAAACTTTGTACAGAATCTTGTATAATATTTTTTATAATTTGCAGCTAAAAGTCCATTAGTGACATGTTTAGTGTATCTCCTGCACTTCTACAAATGTGAGGACCGGTACAACAGGGTGCAAGACATAAGATTCATACTCAACAGAAAATATTTTTATCAAATAACAGATTGGAATGAACCTAAAATATTGGAATTGTTTAAGACATCCATCAAAGAAGTTAGAGGTATGTAAAATATGTATATTTCTAAATTGTTTTTTTTTTTTACTTTTTTATGGTTAATAGTTATGGAAAACTTAGAATTTGGGACTTTGACATTTTGATATTATATTATGATCATGTTGTTATTTAGTTTATATAAAACATGATTTACATTTACATTTAACTAATTATTTTATTATAAATATACTTTAAATTAATAAACGTTAACATTAAAATTAAAAAAAAAAGATTATTTATTAATATTCCCTAACACTATAAATATTTCATTGTAAAAGAATATTATAGAAAAATACTAACACAATGATAATTTTAATTTTTTAGAAATTCCAGCAGAGAAAAAGATGTTAAGAATGGCACTAATCATTCTGGCAAAGAGGCAAGGGCCGAATTGGTGTCAGAAAAATATTGTAAAGAAAATGCTAATGCCATTCATAGAACAAGAGGATGTACCACTCAGAATTAAACAGTTCAGCGTGGAAATGCTGGGACCGCTGCTGAAGCCGTATCCAGTAGACATGAAAGTGCACTGTGAAATAGTGGTTAATAATCTCTTGGATATGGTGGAACAAAATCGTTAGTATTATGAACAGATTTTTATATTATCACTTTGTCTGTCAGTCTGTGCTTTTTTTATTTTATTTTCATTGATATAAAAATGCGCAGGTTTAAAAATTGTGGAGTATATACTCCATATCACAGTGGTTGATAACTGGAATTGTATTACTTGTATGCTTGAAGAATAGTTTTTCTAGCACCTTCATTGCTCTATGCTACATCCTTCGTTATTTCATAGATTTATTTACTTTACTTTTTTTTATTATAGCCTTTAAATTTTTTTTACAGCGCCAGATTCACTTAAGGAGTCTATTTTCACGAGTCTTATATATATGAGTAAACACAATCAAAACCGTGTGATGCAAGCATTGCTCTCATGGACGCCTAAACAAGTTACGCCTGAATTTGAACAGCTTTTAAAAGATTTTGTTCAAGAAAAACCACTAAAAGCATGGAAAGGGATTCTATCTAGAGTCACATTTTAGAATTGTAACTTTTTAAAAAAGTGTTCTCCATGTACATTTTTAATTTTTAACTTTTGAAGGAAACAACTATGTACCTATTAGAAGTAGGCTAAGATTAAATATAAAGTGTAATGTATATTTATACATATATTTGTTCAATTGCTTTAAGTTTAAATATAACGGTAAGGTGTGTCAATCTTTCCAGATGCTCTGTGATTTTGTAATTTGACTTCATTTTAGAAGTATTTGTAATAAATGAAAAATATTTTATGTTGCATTTTTGTTTAACCCAAGTTTGCACACAAACTTTTATAGGAAAATAATGATTCCAAAAATAGTATTTGCCTAATGCGGTTGATTTTTTTGTCACGCAGCTTTTGGATCTAGATCCGGCTGCAAGATTGCTACGTTTATAGCGTATTTAATCAAAATTATTGTTCTTATATACAATAATAAAAGGGATAATATGTTTTGATCGGGGTGCCTATTAAAATATGCCCACGAGTATGAATGAATGAATTCCTCTTTATTGTACGCCCACAAAGAGAAAAAGAAAATATACATTATAATATAGAAGGTACAAGAGGTGGCCTTATCGCTAAAAGAGCGATTTCGTCCAGGCAACCTTTAGGTGGAGGAAATAGTACTAAGATAGAAGGGACGCGAATAACAAATAAAGAGACAATAGAAAGATTATATATTTTTACCTATACGTATCATACAAATATATAATATACAAAATAAATACAAGTAAAATATAATTAATCAATACCTAAATACTATAACTACATTATATAAATACTATACCCATATTATATAAATATAAATAGGCAAGTTTAGCAAGAATTATACTTAAGTTCATTGTTATCTCTTCATCTATCATGTTTAATTAAATAAATAATAATTGACTTTTTGGAACAAAATCGATGCACTTGTTATAATATTGATATTAAAATGAATTATACACCACTTCACAGAAATATACGTAGAGATCTTGAAAAGTGATAGATGCCGTTGCGCACTTGGCCGCAAGCTCTTCGCAGCCAGGTGTAAGCATATTTTGTTACATTTATACGTTCATGGGGTATATTCATTATTTATATATGAAATTAAAGCTAATTTTTTTCACAATTTTTAAAATTTTTGTCTGTTTGTTTGAAACGGCGGGACTGATTTGACTGTACTTTCACTGGCAGATACTTGTTGTTATAAGGAGTAACTTAGGCTACTTTTATTTTAGAAAAAGAATTAGGGTTCTACTAAAAAAAAAACACCTAGGGACAAACCCAACTAAAAATAAGGGTAAGTCGCTGGTTATTAATAAAATAACAAAAAACATTTTGAATAAATATTTATTAATAATTTGTTTTATACTTCTTGATTTCTACCATAATGACATGAATATTAACAAGTTGAGTGCGCGCGTTGGGGGTTAATAATTTAACAAATTTATGATAATACTGTACAAAGTTAGTAAGCGCCATTTGTAATAACCCAGATCCTGTCACGAGATTCGGGAATGACACCAGGACTTCTCTATGTATTTCTTCCAGACTTTGTTTCCAACTGTTGGTAAAGGAGGCTACAAGGGATATTGATTTCTTTTCAAGGTTGGTCAGTTCATTTTTTCTATCAGTTTCTAACAACTGTTCACCTTCCTTAACAAATTGCATAAGTCCACCGAAATGAGGACTTAATATCTCTTCCACATACTCTGAGCTTCTTGCTTGAAGTTGTTCTCTAAAACTCTCAGCCTCCTTAGTGTTATCTCGAGTTCGTTCCATTAAAATACTTAGAACCATATCATAATTATTTATTAAGAATATTAATTGTTGTATTCGTTGTGGGAATTCAGCCGCCATTTTGAGTAGGAAGCAATGGACTTCGTCTTGTAGTACTAGTAACAGATTGCTAAGTTCCTCTGATGGGAACTGTTCACTGAGGCTGAGTATTGCTGCTGAAAACTCTGCATATCTTCTTGTAATCTGAAATAATTTTATATTGGTTTGATTATGTAATTTTCGCATGCTTTGCGCAGACCCCGGCCTATAAACTATCTCCATGTAACAAACCAAGTCAAAATATTGCTCTGTTGTTGCATGTACTGTATTTGTATAGTTTTGTCGGTATATGGAAACCATAGGGTCTCATCAAGTATAAAGAACGAATAGTTACCATAGAAGATCCTATAAAAAGAAATTCCATAGTACAGTGTCAAAGGTGCCAGCAGTATGGACACACAAAGAACTACTGCATGAGACCATATCGCTGCCTCAAATGTGCTGAATCACACAGGACAAGGGAATGCCCCAAAGTTGATCGAACTACTCCTGCAACATGTGCTCTATGCTTTGGCCCACATCCTTCAAATTATAAAGGATGTGAGGTTTACAAAGAGATACTGGCAAGAAAAACAACAAAGCAGAAGACAAGAAACCCTGTACCACAAGTCTACAACAACGTAATGCCAAATACATCTACTACCGCAACCTGTACCCAATGCCATGGTACACACCCCTCAAATTATAAAGGATGTGAGGTTTATAAAGAATTACTAAATAGAAAAATAATAAAATGCACCACAGAAAACCCTGACTCACAAATTCGTATCAGCACAAAGCCGAACACGCAAAAAGTGGATCAAGCGAATAACAACTCAAAAACCAAAGTGAAATATAGTGAAATCTTAAAAAATAAAACACACAACAAAATTGTAGACAAACAACAAGAACAAGAAATCTCTCAACAGCTTCTATACAATGGAATAGAAGAAATATTTATAAAACAATCAGAAAAAATTGACATCATTCTACAACAAATGAGCAACATGATGGGGCTCTTGACAACACTAGTCAACAAACTCTTACAATGAACACAACCAAAATTGCAACCTGGAACACAAATGGACTGTCGCCCAATAAAATGGAGGTGGAGACTACTAAAAATTCATGATCTCGATATTCTACTCATCTCTGAAACACATTTCAACAATAATAGTTATATATATATTAGAAACTACAATATCTACACAACAAACCATCCGGATGGAACCTCACATGGGGGCACAGCAGTTCTAATTAGATCTTCCATTGACCACCATGAACTCCCTCAATTCAAAACCGAACATATTCAAGCTACAACTGTAACCATCCAAGATAAGTATGGGCATTTCAATGTATCATCAGTCTACTGCCCTCCAAAGCACAGAGTAACTGAGAGTCACTTCACTGAATATATTGGAAGCCTCGGCCCACGCTTCATAGCTGGGGGAGACTGGAACTCTAAACACCCTCAATGGGGATCAAGACTGATAACCACAAGAGGTAGAGAGCTCAAAAAGTGTATCGACAATAACAACCTAACAACCATAGCTACAGCAGAACCTACCCATTGGCCGACCGACCCAAACAAGCTTCCAGATGTGCTAGACTTCTTCGTAATGAGGGGTCTCTCACGCCTCTTTTACCAAATTGATTGTTGCCTCGATGGGTCTTCTAATCACATCCCGGTCATTCTGACTGTAAGTACGAATGCCTTGGACAACCAAAGTAAGCCAAAACTATATAATAATCGGACTGACTGGAACCTGTTTCGTGTTATAATCAACAACTCGCTACAAGCACGTGTTTCTCTGAAAACTGAGGATGAAATCGATAATGCCGCCATGACCTTCATAAGAACAGTACAAGAGGCTTGCTGGATGAGTTATTCACATGTATGCAATAAAAACATTAGGCATAATTATGTAACACAAGATATTAGAAAAATGATTCTAGAAAAGAGAAGGCTTCGCAGAGTGTGGCACACCAGTCGACACCCTGAGGACAAAAGAATATTCAATAACTATGCCAGGAGCTTAAATCAGACTTTACAGGACTTTGAAGATTCTACAGTGGAGACAAACCTAGTATCGTTGACTGCTACTCAAGCCACCGACTTCTCACTCTGGAAGGCATGCAAAAATAAGACCCAGCCAACAAATCCAAAACCACCTATACGCCTGGATGGAAACGCATGGGCTAGATCAAAACAAGAAAAAGCAAATGCATTTGCCGTGCACCTTGCTAAAGTATTTGTTCCCAATGAACCAAACCCAGCATCAAACGAATTGGATATTGATGAAATACTCCAGCAAGATTTCCAGCTTGATCCACCTCTCAAAATTGTAACACCTAACGAGGTAATTAAACTTATCAGACAATTGGATAATGGAAAGGCACCAGGCTATGACCTTATTGATAAGAAGGTCCTAAGAGAGCTGCCCCGTAAGGCAATAGTTTACCTGACTACCTTATTCAATTGTATCTTAAGGGTTGGGCACTTCCCTGCGCTCTGGAAAGTCTCCCAGGTTATAATGATTCATAAAGCTGGAAAACCACCCCACGAATTGTCTTCATATAGACCTATAAGCTTGCTTCCAACCACTTCTAAGCTTCTTGAAAAGATAATATTGCGACGACTCTCTCACTTTATGAATGAAAATGCTGTAACTCCAGATCACCAATTTGGGTTTAGACCTAACCATGCTACAACTGAACAGATACATAGAGTGTGTAAACACATAAGTGACAGTCTTGAGCAAAAGGAATACTGTTCATCAGCGTTCCTAGATGTCCAGCAGGCCTTCGATCGTGTGTGGCACAAGGGTTTACTATGCAAAATTAAACAACTTCTGCCTCACATTTTCTACCAAACTCTCAAATCATATCTCACTGACCGAATATTCCAAGTGAAAGAGGCAGAATACACATCAGGCTTCTACGACATACACGCTGGAGTACCTCAGGGCTCAGTCCTTGGCCCAGTCTTGTACACTATCTTCACTGCAGATCTTCCACAAACACCGGGAGTCTCCATTGCAACGTATGCTGATGACACGGCCATACTAGCCTCTAGTAAATGTCCAGTGGAAGCCTCGAATATACTGCAGAAAAGCTTGAATGACATAAACAAATGGTTTGACAAGTGGAGAATCAAAGTGAGCGCAAATAAATCAGTCCAAGTTACCTTCACACTACGAAGAGAAACTTGTCCTCCTGTGAACCTGGGTGGCAAAGAGCTTCCTCACAAAGACGCAGTCAAATACCTAGGACTCCACTTGGATCGCCGATTGACATGGTGCAAACATATTGAGACTAAACGAAATGAGATCAACTTAAAATATAGAGGCTTATACTGGCTGCTAGGCAGAAACTCTAAACTATCCATTGACAACAAGCTGTTAATTTACAAGGCCATAATAAAACCGATCTGGACCTATGGCTCGGAGTTGTGGGGAGCTACATGTAATTCCAACATAAATAAAATTCAAAGAACTCAGAACTTCATACTTAAACAAATTGGCAACACACCCTGGTTCATAAGAAACACAGAGGTTCATGAACACCTAAACATGCTGACAGTCAAAGAGGAGATCAAGGCACGTCTAAAGAAATACAAAATCAGATTGGAAAACCATCCTAACCAGCTGGCAGTCCAGCTCACATTACCTGATTGCATAAACCGGTTGAAACGACGCAGAATCCTTGAACTCGGCAAAACGAACTAAGCCATTGAAACTAAAGAAGGCAAAAATTCCTAATGAGGAATACCTTTTCCTGTCACTGATATTCTTACATCACATCTGCTCATAGCCAAGAAGACTGATTGCAAGATAAAAAAAAAAAAAAAAAAAAAAAAAAAAAAAAAAAAAAAAAAAAAAAAAGTATAAAGAACTATTAGTTCAGTTAAATGTGAATAGATGGAGCTATATGTACTAATTTGTTATTGAAACAATTTTTTGGATGTTTTAAGTAACAAGGTGTAGTGATAGCCAGCAGAAACGTGGCAAAGGTCATTAGTAATAAATAAACTTGGATAATAACACTTAGTTCAATCCATAATTCAAAATTATTTATATTTATTTTGACTGTAACACATATATTAGTGGTATAAAAATCTAAGTCATGAAGGCCATAAGACATCATTATTGTGTAATTAATCTTAATTAAAATAACTTACATAGTGAGGTCCCATTTCCTTATTAGACAATTTGGCCGGATCACAATCTCTTACACTTTGGATGTTCAATTTCAATACATACTCTAGTCTCGGCCATAAGGTTGCTAGTAAAGAATCCCAATAGCTGAAACAATTTGTAATATTTCATATTTTCTATCATTTCCACACTCGTTTTCGTGGTGGGTTAATTTTTAGGATTGCGTTATCCGTACCCGAAGGGTGCCTATGGAACCCTATTATTAAGCCTCCGCTGTCTGTCCCTGTCTGTCCGTCTGTATTTCATGAACCGTAATAGGTAGAGAGTTGAAATTTTCAGTGTGGAATTCTATTGCCACTATAACAACAAATAATAATAAAAAACGAAGATGACGAATTTTAAAAAGGCTGCCATGCAAATCAAAAAAAATCGATAATCGTACGAAACCTTTCGTGTGCGAGTCTGACACGCACTTGACCGATTTTTTCGTGCTATGTCACTTATATAAGTGTAGATTTATAAAAATAATGTTAAATGGAAGGTGAAGACAATGATAATTCAGCCTTATTTAATATTCCACGGGCCACCCTGTGGCCTGTGGAATATTAAATAGCATGAATCTAAAGGTTTATTAGGTACTGGGTAGAACCCAATGTGAAGGCGAATGTTTACTACTTCATAGAGTTCTCAAAATTTTTAATAAAAAGTTTCATAAGTACTTAATTTGAGATACTATATTTTATTCAGAGAGAAATAACAGAATAAAAACCTTACTAAAAGAAGATATTCATATACGTATGGGCGAAGTATAACGTAAGGGTGAAGATGTTCATATATACAACAGAGTGCCTCTTTTTTGAAGTTGCTCAAAAAATTATATCTAAAGGAACCCTTAACATACAGAGGTAAAATATTGTCAATATAAAAATTCTAGGAAGAGCCTTGTTTACTTACAATAAAGTCTTACCTATCCAAAGCTGCAACTGCTCTTTTGTGACACATCCAGCGATACCTATTTATGAGCTGTATGCACAGGAACAGAGCAAGGCAGTCATAACATTCCAGGACATAGTTTTCTACATTTTTCTAAAATTGAAAAAATTAAATGCAACAATTTTTTTGTATTTTAAATTTCTTTCAAATATAAAGAATGTACATATATTAAAATTTGCTTATATAATAACATCAAAGTTTATAATTTTACCATACTAAATGTACTCCATAGATTTCTCTGATACTTCACTATGTGTATTGTGTAAAGTTACATACAAAACATAAAGAGTGGTTCTTAAATAAAAACATAGATGGCATACATAATAGATAGAAAATAAACATCTATTGCAATTGTCACAAAAAATTACATACCACAAGTAATGAAAGTGTTTTCCCAAGAATTCTATCAAATAATTCTTGCGCATGGCTTCCTTTGACATGGAAAAATTCTGTAGTAAATAGATATTCCCTGCAGCTGTTGTCCACTAGAGCATATTGTAGACTTCGAAACAACGCTTCATAAGAATACTAAAAATATTTATTACATAATATTTAAACTATGAATAATTTTCACATGCTTTCATTAAACCAGACATTTATATTATTATTATTTAATTTGGTTTAAGTTAATCCTTATCAGGAATATGATGCAAAGGCGGCCCCCTCTGGTAGCACTGAATATGAACAGCATTTGGAGCTACAAATATCCCAGACATTTATGTGAAGTTATTCTTTTTTACCAAATTTGACAGAATTGCCAAGCAATTGACATGATATACCTACTTACCTTTCAGCAATATATGTATCTCCAATAATCTCTGAGTATTATTACTGTGACATATGGAAAGACGGATGGAGAAATTATAAGGATTTCATGTTTGCCTTTTAGCTACTGAACAATGAAATTAAAAATGAATGAAAATTATCCAGGGAGGGCATTTTTAAAACCTGCATTATACTGACAAAATCTACCACATGGCCTTGATCTGGAGTGATATAACTTGAAATATTAATATTCTGATCATACCTTAGATTTTTGCTGTACATGTGGTACAATGATTGGTGCTTCTAGTTGTTGAGCAAGAACATCTCCACGGTTCCCTATTGTAAATATAGTGCTTTTATTTTTTAAATTGGACTTTTGAAAGAAACCTCCCTTGGAACCATCCTCAATTCCCATCAAGTCATCCTTGGTTGGTACTTCTTCATATTTTAATTTATCTAATCTTGATGCATAGGATTTAAAGTAAGAATAATAAACTTTACTCAAAGTATCTATGTATTCATTGCAGATTTCTTGAGCAACATTCCTTTCATTTGTTAAAATAAACTCAAAGAAAAATTTATACTTTAACATAGCATTTTGTGGTATCTGGTAGTTAGCCATTGGCTTACGGAATTTGTAAATTTGCTCAAGTACATATGTCCTTATTTTAGACACTGACTTTATTTTCAATTTTTCTAAAACATCTTTAACGTCATGACAGGCTTTGGTTTCTTTGAAATCTTGTTCTTTAACAAAATTTAATTTTTGATTTAAGATTGCTAGTTGAATCATGAATTCTTTGTCTATAACCGGCACATTATTTATACCACTGAAAATTAGAAAAAATTACCCAATGTTATTTTTTAAATGTTTTACTAAAACTTCATAGTTATCTAAAGATAAATAAAACTGTAATAGGTACTCACAATATAAGTGATTCTGATATGGCCATATCTTCAATAAATGATGACAGTGGTCCTTTAAGAGCTTGCCTATTCGAAAGTTGGACTGACATATTGACAGAGCGTTTTTGTAAACTAATAATTTCGTTACTAATACTTCCCAGGTCATTCTGAAAACAATAAGTCTAAGTAAATAAATACTCAAATAAAAATATAACACAAGCAAATTGTTGCTTCTTTATTAGGTATCGTAAAAAGGCTTGTTTATTTTTCCTAAGAATTCTACCTGAAAAACTAATAACATGCTTTCCATCCTGGCTAAGATTGAGTCACAGTCTTCTATTTGATTGTGAAGTGAAGCGATATTTTCGCTTTCTTTTAAATAGTCTGCTACAGAAGATTTCTCTGCTTCCTTTATATTTTTATCGATTTGTAAGGCGTATTCACGTAAGTCTGTTCCATTTTTTAAAACTTCTTGAATTTCTAAATCTTCTAGGTTTTTATCTAAAATTTCCGTCATATCTGCGCCTTCAGACATTTTAACGAAATTACATTAAATAAATTGAAAAATAAATAATTAGTCTACTATTTTATAAAGTTTTAAATTATTGAATTCATCACAAAAATTCAATTCAATTCTTTAATTTCGTGGTTTCACAAAAGTCAAAAACAAGTAAATTGCAATTTTATTTGTCATCCATGGTAAACTAAATTGTAACTCTGCCACAGATAATATAAATTGTCAATCAAGTTGGCATTGACACATTGCGTGTTTCACAGAATATTTATATGTGTAAAACTAAAAGGAATCTATAATTTAAAATTTAAAAAAAAATTCTTATTCTGGTCTTCTCCATTCTACATTCAACTGGAACCCAATTTCGTAGCTATTAACAAGAAAGAAAATTGAATTGAAAAATATTTTCGATTAAATTCAATTATAAAATAATTTCTACCTTCCTCTGTAAAAGAGTTTAAATATGTTTAAAAGCATAATTTTCGTACAATAATAATTATTATTGGTTAGGTGGCAACATTACGGATTTGAGATTACTGGATAACACAAACTGGATATTAACATCAGCTTCAAAGAGTATACAATAGTTATAAACTATCAGCTTTCTTCATCAATCATCTTTGGCTTGCTGTCATTGGCCATTCGGCTGTTGCCAAAGACGCAGTGAATAGACCATAGAGTATATTGCTACATATAAGGCCCCTACTCAAAGCACTGCCTGCAGGTCCCTGTTTGCAGTGCCACTGCCAATCGTATTGTGTGTATGCATGCAGGGCCGATATTTTAATGGTTCTCCCTGCCGCAGGGCCGCAGTGTCATTCTGCCATCCCGACGTACGATCTCCCCACTCCAAATACTGCAAGCAGCGCAATGTGTAGCACGGTCGGGCCGATTTAAGTCGCCATTTTGTATAATCTATGCTTGCGACGGTTGTCAATGTCAATTTGACATTTTTGGTTTTGTCGAGAAGCGGTTGTTTCAAATTTTGTTTACACTAAAATAGTTTAAATAACATTGGTTTTGTCTCCAAAGCTTTATTTTCATCAGAAAAATGGGTCCACGCGAAAAAGACGTGTGGAGAGACATATTTGAACTGTATCTACATTACATATTAATAATTTTACATAGTAACTGTGGTGAAATTATTGCTCTAAATTTCAAGTCTTCATAGCTGGCCCCAGTAGCAAGAAATCTTAAAGTAACAATTAATCTTTCTCTTTCGCTTACAGTATCTCTCATCAATATATCTTTTTTTTCAATAAATGGTGTTACCATTGTCAATAAATGTTCAAATTGTGATTCATCCATTCTAAGAAAGTTTTTAAAATCGTCAGGTTGTAATTCTCTCAGTACATTGGCGTGACTCAAAGTCTTTCGTAGTAGTAACCATTTTTTACACCAAGAATTTCTTTTTTTCTTTTCAACGCCACCACTAGTACTCAGTACAGTCAAAGCCAATGCTATTTTTTGGTGTTTCGATAATATAGGAGCCGTCTTTTTTTCACTGATGAAATATGAATCTAGGAAAGGATTTGTCATTTGAGAACACCACTGAACGTAACAACGGCAGCCGCACTAATGACTTGCAGGGCTTTGTGGAGCAACACCCTCTGCGGCAGTAACTACAAGCAGGCTCTGCAGGCAGTGCTTTGAGTAGGCCCCTATATAAAGAATGGTCTGTACAATACTGTATTGTAATTGACCCCCTCTAGAAAGAGAGAAAGCGAACGTGCAGCGAAAAACAATTTGAATTTATAAATGAAATGTTAAAAAAATATAATATAATTGAAAATTATAATATTAAAATGGCATGTAAAATGGGTATAAATATCTACCTATCTTCATTGATCTTATTTCAATAAATACAGAAGACTTCTGGCCGCACATTCGGTTTGGTCTATTTCGATTTTCGCTTTTTCGCCATTTTTAGCTGTCGGCTGGCAAAGAAACACTCAATAATAACCAATATATTTATGGCTGTAGAATGGAGACATATTAGTATTACAAGAAAGGCTGTAGGTTACTATGCAGGACACGGTGGAAGGAGAAAAATGGACGGAGGTGAGACAGGAGTTTTGACCCAGGTATAACCGACTTGAGCACTTTCGTCGTTTTAGAAGCCCGTCAAAAAAATATTTGTGGCGTCTGTGTCACTCTATACGTGTAAGTAAGGGGTAAAAAATTAGGTAGCAGATTCGACTTGGATCATCATAGATCTCTTTTATTTAAGCCCCGAACCCCTACAACAATAAGAGCTTTATGTTAAACCAGCATTGTCCGCGGCACCGTCCACGTTGAGATGACCAAAAACCAAATTCTTAGGTTTTACGTATTAGTATACTCTTACATTGCAGTTTTTGTATTTTTTCTCAAAAATGATATATTTTCCCGCAGTAAAAAGTATCCTATATGTTTACCGGATAACCAGCTATCACCATACCAAATTTCGTCAAAATCCCTCCAGTGGTTTTTCTGTGATGCGGTAACAGACAGACAGACAGAGAGACAAAAATTCTATAAATTATAGATTCGGCCTCTGTATCAATAATAATTAATAATGTTTATTTCAATAAGATTTTCCAAACAATATTGAACGTAGGTACAGATTCGGCTTAGTTACAAGTTTATTATATGTATATATTTAAATTCAATGACAGATCTAACTGAAAATTATAGATTTCAAACATTATAATGTTATATTTTTATTTTACCAAAAGCACGTCACGCGCTCTCACTCGCTCGCGGCCGACTACCGAGCGGCCGTCTTCATATGGCTAAATCGTCTGCATATTACTTGCCTTACTTTTTGTGCGCAATGCTCTGTCTATACTTTTTTATTGGTCTGAGTGTTATATTCAGATAATTATTTGAAGAATCCTTGCTTATGATTTTATTACATTTTTATATGATGGATACTATATCTATACCTACTAATATTATAAAGAGGTAAAATTTGTGAGTTCGTGACGTCGCATTGTAGGGATTAATCTCTGGATCTGCGGAACCGATTTAGATAAAATTTGGTAAGAATATAGTTTGAGATCGTTCGAAGGTGTCGATATCCACCTACTGCCGCCCAAGCGGGACGCGGCGAGTATGGCACTATAAATCAGCTGATTGGGATGGTTTGCGCGAATTTTTCGCATCCTACCCATGGAAGCGCATCTGCTTTTCATCGGATGATCCCTCGTATTGCGCGGATACCGTTGCGGATACGATTTTACAGGGAATGGAATGCTTCATTCCCAGTTCTACCGTCCGTATCGGCGGTCAATCGCAACCTTGGTACGATGCATCCTGTGCTAGAGCTTCTAGCGAGAAGCAGGAATCCTATCGAGCCTGGGTTGCTGCCCGCATAGCAAAGGATCCTAACGTCACCGATCTCAAAAAGAAATTTAATGCTGCTTCTAGATCGTGCAAGACACTAATGGCCAGGGCAAGAGACGATCATATTCGCAGCATTGGCAAGAGACTTCTAAGCCTTCCATCTGGATCGCGTGCTTTTTGGGCTCTCGCCAAAGCTGCGGAAGGAAATTTCTGTCGACCATCCATACCAACTCTGTGCAAACCGGATAGCACGCTGGCACATTCTGCAAAAGACAAAGCAGATCTCCTGTGCTCTTTTTTTGCCTTAAATTCTACTCTTGACGACGGGGGATTATCGCCGCCTACCATCTCGCAGTGTGATAGCATGATGCCCGAAGTACGCTTCACTCAACGTGAAGTGCGTCGAGCACTTATCTCCCTAGACGTCAAGAAGTCCAGCGGGCCTGATGGTATTCCGGCCATTGTACTTAAAACGTGTGCCCCAGAGTTGACACCGGTCTTAACCCGCCTGTTCTCTCAACTCTACGCCGTTAGCCAAGTCCCGTCTTCTTGGAAGGTTGCCATTGTTCACCCTATTCCCAAAAAGGGTGACCGCACAGACCCGTCCAATTACCGGCCCATTGCGATAACCTCTATACTCTCTAAGGTGATGGAGCGCGTGATTAATACTAGGCTCCTAGCATACCTAGAAGAGAACCAGCTCATTAACGACCGACAATACGGATTTCGACAGGGTCGTAGTACTGGTGATCTTCTAGCGTATCTAACTCACCGTTGGGCAGCTGCCATTGAGAGTAAGGGGGAGGCGTTAGCACTTAGCCTTGATATCGCAAAGGCCTTCGATCGGGTCTGGCATAAGGCACTTCTATCGAAGCTGCCATCATATGGACTTCCCGAGAGATTATGCCAATGGGTCGCTAGCTTTCTTTCTGGACGTAGCATAAAAGTTGTCATTGACGGTATATGCTCCGACACTGTTCAGATCAACGCTGGCGTACCCCAAGGCTCAGTGCTATCGCCTACACTGTTTATTCTGCATATCAATGATATGTTGTTAACTAACAACGCTCATTGCTATGCAGATGACAGTACAGTCGATGCCTATTATACTGGCCGAGCTAGCATCTCTCGGGCTAAGGTTGAGGAGAATAGAGTCCAACTTGTGTCTGAAATCGAGACTTCCCTAGAGCAGATCTCCGATTGGGGCCGACGAAATCTCGTCCAGTTTAACCCCTCAAAGACACAAGTTTGTGCGTTCTCCACAAAAAAAACCCCATTTACTATAGCGCCAAAGTTCCAGAACACTTCTCTTAACATCTGTAAGAGTATCGGGATCCTAGGGGTCGAAATATCGAGCGACGTCCAATTTAGATGTCATCTGGAAGAAAAAGCCAAATTGGCTTCCAAAAAAATGGGTGTCCTTAACAGAGCGAAACAGTATTTCACGTCAGGGCAGCGACTTTTGCTTTATAAAGCACAGGTTCGCCCTCTCATGGAGTACTGTTCTCATCTCTGGGCCGGCGCCCCCCAATACCAGCTTCTTCCATTTGACTCTATCCAACGCCGGGCAGTTCGTATTGTCAACGATCCCGTACTCACAGACGACTTAGACACTCTAAGCCTTCGGAGAGATGTTGGCTCTCTGTGTGTTCTCTATCGTCTATACAATGGAGAGTGTTCTGATGAACTTTTTGACATGGTGCCACCGTCGCGCTTCTATCATCGCACCCTTCGCCGTCGGGTAGGATGTCATCCACACATTTTAGATGCTTGGCATTCTACAAATGTACGTGCGTCTCGATCTTTTTTACCTCGCACGTGCAAGATGTGGAATGATCTTCCTCCCGAGGTATTCCCTGAGCGCTATAATATGGGGCTCTTCAAGAGTAATGTCTATAGGTCCCTTAAAGGCCGGCAACGCATTCGCAACTCCTCTTGTGTTGCAGATGTCCATGAGCGACGATAGCCACTTACCATCAGGTGGATCGTTTGCTCGTTTGCCCCTTTTTTCTATAAAAAAAAAAAAAAATCCTGGGAAGGACATACGATACTTTTCAACCGACTTCAAAAAGGAGGAGGTTCTCAATTCGACTGTCAAAAAATGGGGATGGAAGTTTGTATTGGAAAGCAATTTATAAAATTAAAATTATTATATATTTTTCAATTCGTTTGCGTAGTATATAATATTTCAATCCATGAGCTTGAAAAAGTGCTGTCGCGCATTTTATTAAAAACTTGCTTCTGAATTTTGGCTTTATTTCAATTAATAATGAAAATTTGCGAAAAGCGAGGCCGCTATGAACTATATTAATTATATTATTATTATATATTCTCCACCATACAATAAGTCAAAATTGTCGAAGAGTTTCAGTTTCTCTGAAAGAGAACGCCAAAGAGGGGCATTAAATTGAAAAAATCACGTTCATAATGTAACAGGCCTCTTAACTCTTGTGTCGTGTCTTGTGTGTCTTAAGGCGCTCTTTTCCAGAATTTAGGATATTTTGAACCATTATAAAACCACGAATATAATACATATAGTTCTAAAATTCATACATGTTATAGTTAAGGATAATAGCTAAGTACCCGGAGAGGCCAAAATACGATTGGCAATAGTTCACTCGATAGAAAAAAAAATTCAAAGATAGGTCTAAAAATACCTTAAAATCTCTGATACACACAAAATACATTATTATATGATATGAAAGTTATACTCATAGATTTAGCTTGTCATTATTTAGGTATTCGGAGAAACAGATTTTCATTTATTAACTTATATTTATGGCAATAGGCGAAAAACGGATAAAATGAAACGGGTCGTCGCGCGCTGGCGCCTAGGGAGCGGCGATTTTGGAAAAGAGCGCCTTAACGGTTGTGTCGAGCAGTCGTCCCACCGGAGTATGAGAGTGACAGGAATAGAGAGTGCACTTGTGCCTGCGCTTACACTTGTGCTATAATATCTCCTGCGCAGATTTCTAATCTCAATAAGACGGGCCGCCTTGGCCATCGCCGAAGTAGGTCGGGAAGTTAATATTATTATTTAGTAGGATAAGAATTAAGATCATGATACGCATGTTATGAGTTTTGATTGGATAATCTGAACAACAAGAAAATACTTAAATTAAAAAAAACCTTACACAATAACCTATTCATCGATTACATTTCTATGAGAATTAAAACAATATATATTTTAGTAAACAGTTGAGTATCTCGCAGATTCCAGGTGACGCTGCACCATTCGGTTACCATATCATTGCAATGTCATCAGGTGCGGATCTAGAGTTAAATTTTAGTGTGACATGGAATTTACGAAAATAGTTCGTATTTTTTTTGTGTCAATGATATCCAGCATGGTGGTATAGCGTTGGAGTCAAAGCTCTGTCGCACGTAATCACTCGCAGCAGTATTTCAATTTTTAAAACTCGACAACTGGAGTTTAGGATTGATTTTTCGTAATGAAATAATCTTTATTTTAACTTAACTTTAATTCATTAATCAGACCAGTGCAAGTTATTATGTAATATCGATTTACCTGCTTATACCTGCCTACCCAAGAGTTGTGACGGGAAAAAATAGTCAACCTAACGTTTGCATATTCTATAGGCTTCATATTTCGATTGGTACGTAATTTGTCTATTAACCAAACCAGTGAAATGTATAAAAAATAATTTTTAAATTGGTAATTAATATTCTGGACTGAATTTTATTAGTCAACCCATTTGCAATATATTTATTAAACATATTTAATTTGATATAAAATACTTTTCATCCATCAACCAGCTCGGTGAAGGTCGTTTTATACTGGTATCTTAGACCATATATGGATTAACATATCGATTGTTCAAACGTGACGGTCAGATTTAGTTGGATATCTAAAGAAATGCCACCATTTCATGAAATGGTCGAACATATCATGAAATTATCAATTCTACAACCTGGCCACGATATAGGCAAAGGCATAGACGCTTATCCTTGCTTCTCTGGCATTAATTGGACCAGTCTAGTTCTTTAGTAACTTTAAGTATATTGTGTTATGGATATCGATTTCGACATACGTAAGGTAAAAAACACACAAGTTTCAAATAACGCATATGCGTTAGTATAATTGTGACGAAATATTTACAAAGAAAAAGTATAACGTATAACAAAAGCACATCAATCTATATTGAGACAAAAAATGCAATTGAATTCGGAAGTTTACGAAACGTACAGTTTTCTCGAAATATAAGTCTATAAGATCTACGTCTATAATAAAATTAATGTTTGTTAAATTCAGAGCTTACCTACTTTAGTGATGTGGGTGTGAATGTTGATTTAAATTTATATAAAAAAAAACTTGGTTTCAAAAATTCAAACAATAAATGGCTTTTGGAATGTATTGCAACAGTTAAGTGTTTAATTATTTGTAGTTAGTATCTTATTATTATTAATTTTACGATATTTTTGACTTATTGCTACTTAGCAAACATAAACTTTTATGTTTTGTAGTGATATGAAAGCACAACCAAGTTTGTCGCAAAAGCTTAGGAAAGGTTTTGTTCTTTAACATCCTAAAAAGCAAGACAATATCTTCATAAGGTGATTTCTTTCAGATATTACCATTCTAATCTTAGTGAAGTAGGTAGGCATCTGACACGTACAGTTTGATTGAGTTACCAACATAAGAATCACGCCACAATGAATTACGAAAGGAAATGATTTGTTAATTACTCTTATAAATCTAAATAATTAACTAATACATACATATAAAGGAGCCCCGGTTTTCGAGCAAAAAGTTCAGCATTGTTTACAAAATATGTAATTATAAAACAATATATATAGTATAAAATTATCACGCGTTTATTATATCCTATAACATCGTTAAATCTACAATTTATAACTCACATCTGCGTAAATATTCATTAATTACTTTTAATCGTTATTTTAATCGATAATTTTTCTATCAATAAATATAGCTATTTGCAATTTTATTGCATAATAATTAAATGCTTTCCATCGAAAATGTAGCGAATAAATGATCAATGTGATCTATATAAATATATTATTTTTTTAATTTCAATTATATTGATGTTTCTGTAATATTATGTATTAATGAGGCAGCATTAACTTCTTTCCCCCCTACCGAATTGGTCCAAATGGAATTTTTGTGCTCACTTAAAACGATGAATTAATATCAAAGAAAATTGGCAACAAACTAAGGAAAAATCCTAATTATATTATACTTTACGAGCATTCTAAATGAGTACATTGATATGTCTTAGGTTTCTACTCTACTGTTTTTTTTAATTTAAAAAAGATTATACAAGGAATCTTCTAAGCTACCTATCTAAGAAGGTACTCTTTAAGACACGTTGGAGTTGGGAGTCTATAATAGAGATGCTGAACTTTTTGTCTTACCTTATACGTATATTTTTATTTTAACAATTCACATTAACATTTTATGAAATAGTTATAAAATAATTTAAACCTAAAAAGGTAACTTCCATCTTCGTTCTTGGCTTTCATTATTCCTCGAGCCCTTCTTGTGCTATATTACACACGATCGGCGAGGCCATCGTATACATATTTCGTATCCAAAACCAAAATTGCATCTGAAAATGGATACCTTAGAAAAATAATAATAAAGGATTTATTAATTAAATTCAGTTCCTTTCAAAATATAAATCCGTTGATTTTAAGATTCTTATTCAAATTTAATAATTTTATTCTTCTAATATCTTTTGTCTAAGGTAAGCATTTTATAATGCAATTATTTTTGGTAAAGGAAACTTAATACTTTTTCAATCACACCACACTCATTTAGATATCAACAAATACCTTAATTACTCATAAATTTTCTATAAAATTCGGTGTTTACGAGCCAAATTTTTAACATTTGTAAGTCTTGTGACTAGATTTTTCTTATTTAATAATACACAAGTAAATAACGTAGGAATATTTGTACGACGAGATGCCATTGATTACGAGCGGTAACTTAAATGCAGACTACTAAAAAGATACCTTTATAAGATAAAACGGAATCACACCCAAATATACATTAATAATAAATTAAGCTTAACGATAAGTGCCCAATATATTAGGACTTACATGGTAAGATTGTTTTCCTTACTTAAAATTAATTAATTAATTATTCGTACAACAAGCACAAACCGATTCCGCGGAGATCGAGTCATGTAGAGTTTTACTAGTCTCTAGAAAAATATTTTTAATCTAGATAAACACTTATAAAAATAACGGAGTCGGCTCTAGAAGAGAATGCGTCTCGAAGGCGGGGGTGGTCCTCGGGATCTCAGTGCGGGGAAAGCGTGTAAGGCGCCTAAAAGGGCAGGCTGGCGCGAAACATATTCTCAATAAGAGGCGGTGCTGGAACTAAGTCTTCTAACTTCAGGTAGAATATGCGCTGAAGACCTTGCACGGAAAGTGATCGCAGCTCAGGGAGAGCTCCAAGGACACGACTGAAGTGTGGAGCACCTACTGCGTTAGTACTCCCACCGCCAGGTATGTGGGCCCGCAAACATCCAATGATCTTCATTTGAAGTTGCTCGACTCGATGTGGTTCCTTTAAACCATGTCTCTCTGGAGGACAAGACAAAAAAAAAACTATAAGAATAAATATAATCTACAAAAGATTACAGTACATTTTTAGTAACAATTTAATACAATCAATATATTTATTAAATCTTACAGTGAAAACTATATAAATATATTATAGTGAAAACTATATAAATAACTGAAAACTATATAAAGATGTAGATACGTAAATTAATCAATCAATATAATTTGGTTACACATAAAAAAAAGTTTCGTACCTGTTACTAGAGTTAGCGCACATAAGCAAGCGAAAGTAGAAATATCGATGTCCATTGAATGTAGAGTATTACTAAAATCAAGTACTGCGTGCAACCAATCTCCAAAAGATCGTTGACATTGTCGTTTATCAAGTACTAGTCCATTGCAAAAGGTGAGCTTGGTATCTTCAGGGCGAGTGCGGTAGGCAAGACGTAGTACAAACAATTCAAGTCGAGCTGAAGCAAATAGTTGTTCACGATCTTCTGGACACAAGTCCCCATATCCTGGTACTTTTTCTGCAAATATCTTAATCATGTCTATAGATGTTGTCAGCAACGAGTAAAATTGTTGAATAACTTCCAAATCCGAAATTGGGGGTTCCATTGGATTTGGTTCCCTATATTGCGAATAATCTAAGTTGGCAAAATCAGGGGACGTATCCACGTGGGCTCTGACTAGTGCTGTGATTAGAGAAATCGGTGGACTCGGAGGGGATTCTTGTGGACATTTTGGCTTAGAAGGTAATCTACCCCGTCTACCTTTTAGTGAGTCAGTTCTTACTACTTCCTTTACCATGCCCACCGCAAGACACTTTTGAAAGCGACAAAATTGACATCTGTTTCTTCTTCTCTTATCGACAGGACACGATTTTTCTGCTAAGCATACATATTTGGAACCTTTTTGAACGGTTCTTTTGAAAAATCCTTTACATCCTTCACAAGTACGGACACCATAATGTTGACATGCAGCTGTATCCCCACAAACTGCACAAAGTTGACTTGGTGATGGAGGTGCTGCTCGTGACACCGTATTATCTTGAGGTGCTCCACCAGGCGAACTAGACGCAGAACTAGGCGCTGAGGCTTGCATACAGTGAACTCTGCTACCGTGAATTTTAGGGCTATCATTAGAACTACTGGATTCTGATCTTTGAACAGGCAATGATGACCTTCGTTGTCTATTTCCCTGATCAGTAGATATGTGCAAATCGACAGAACTCGGAAACGGTGGCAATGAATATGAATCTTGTGTGTTAGTAACCCCACCAGTATCAAATGTCGGTGAGCACGGTTGAGCCGGTGCATAGTAAGGTGATGGAACGTATGGCAATGAAGGTTGATGATATTGATATAATAATTGAGTCGATGCGTGTCCTGGATGAGAGTATGCACTGACGTTATAACAGTCTTCATCCATTTTTAAGCCGAATTCCGCCATTTCTTGTTTTGGGTAGCGCACTGAATAAGTTTCTTCGAAGCTTGGTAAAGCAGGGCCTAGAGTAGGAGACGGCGTCTCGCTTACAGGAGTAGTGCGTTGAGATTTCACTTCCGGTGGAATCGGCGCATGAAATTCGACGTCTGGGAATGGATCTAAATTTTCTTCTAAGATTTCAGAAGAGTCTTCTTGATATTGCGGCGACAAGAGATCAGTGAAGGACGTACCGTAGTTGCTCTGCAATAGAAAAAAATCGATACTTAAGGCGTTACAATTACGGTAGGCGGAACTAACATGGGCGGTCACGACGCGCCAATGGCGCACCAGGTACTATATCAATCCTTTCATACTAATTCTTTTATGGTGACACTGCCTGTTTGTTGTGCAGGTGTTCTAATCACTAATCATATTTTATTAATACTTCAATTAAAAATATTTACGTAGATACTTTTCGAACAAATATGTTTATAAAAATTATATGACAAAAATCAAACAAAATATGATTTTGTAATACATACGTGTGTTTGCAGCAGTAGCATACTGGACGAGTTTGACGTGAAAGCGCTTGGCGAGCGCGGCTCAATGGCGCTCGGCCCTGTAACAAAAAAATAATAAATCAGATGCATATAAAAATTAAAAAGATAATTTGATAATGAAATAAAATTACATATATTGTATGCTCTATCAGGATGACAACATATTTGCTGCGTTCTGAATAACGGAATATATTTCTATGAGCGGACCAATAAGTAGAGAGGGTTGATTGTAAATGCGCCGGAAGACAAGTGGTCAGCGTGTTGACGGCACCGGACTTTGAACTATCACGCTATACAAGCCATGCATCATTTATATTTACCCTCGGTGAACATACTTTGATTCCTACTTAAACACAAGCACGTAATTTTTAAATCAATATCTTTTGCAGGATTTGACTTATGACTGAACGCTACTCTCTTATTTGTAAAAATGACGGCAAAGAAGAAAGGTCTTCTAATTTATACGGCAGTTTTGCCTGCTAAATATTGCCGTTTTGAATACATTGTGTCACGGTGCTTGATTCGCCACGCCCCGAAAATTGAATCCTATGTATACACCTAAACTAACTATTACAAACGTTATAACACAGCCCTTGCTTTTATTTCATTTTCAACCATGAGTACCATAACGAAGATTCAAAATAGGAAAACCCTGTAGTTTCATAATTTTTGGGGCGAAAATGCGATAGTTCCCTTGGGAGGTTATGAAATCAGTGGCATTTGCAGTTTCTATTATGTTAAGAACCATTAATTTCAGTCTTATTAAGTTATAGACAAAACGCTAAATCTTTTGTTATTATGTAATGTTTATTTTTCTTTTTTATCTATACATATAATAAAATTCTAGCTAAGTCGAATCTGTACATTAAATATTTTTTGGAAAATCTTATTGAAATAGACATTATTATCGATACAGAGGCCGAATATATAGTTTTTAGAATTTTTGTCTGTCTGTCTGTCTGTCTGTCTGTCTGTCTGTCTGTCTGTCTGTCTGTCTGTCTGACTGTTACCGCAACATAACAAAACTACTGGAGGGATTTTGATGAAATTTGGTATGGTGATAGCTGGTTAACCGGGTCAACATGTATGATACTTTTTACCGAGGGAAAATATCTCATTTCTGAGAAAAATACAAAAGCTGCATTGTAAAAGTATACTAATATGTAAAACCTAAGAATTTGGTTTTTGGTCATTTAAACGCGTGCGAAGCCGCGGGCAATGCTAGTAAATTATATATTTATATTTGTTTAAGAAATTCACTAAAGACAGTAGAGTTATAAGGAAAATAGAAATATTTTTATGTCATGGTGATGTTTTTTTTTTCAAGTTTTATTTCAAAAAGCATCTGAGGCATATTAATTAAAATTGGATGTCGAAATAAAGACTTGTTAGAAACAGTGTATAATAAAATATTCTTGTCCTAAAATTACAATCTTCTGATTATGCGTTATTTTTATTCCCTAGCTTATTTTGAGCGGCTTTATTTTAACACTCTTCTAGATATTCATGTCACGTTGTTTCCTACTTAAGTCTAGACATTGTTATTCTTTATCCATTAAGATACTGTTTGTATTATTTTTTGTAATAAACATGCTAGATCAAAGTAATGTGACTTTTTTGGACGTGAGATGTATTTTTGTTTCATGGATTAATTTTATATCACTCATAGGTTGGCTGGAAGAGATCTCTTCTAGAGATAAGTCTACCTTTGTAAACAATAACTATTTTTAAATTACTGTATTGATTTTTCAAGTGCAATAAAGAATAGTAATATAGTATGTGATAATGCCATTAAATATATTATTTTGTTTAAAAATCGAACTCTGCATAATTTATTTTATCAACAAAACGAGATATGCAGTTTTGGCTGATTCTCAGAGTCACAGTTTAAGTACAGAGTTATGTTAAATTTTTATTCAGTTTCAAGAATATATTTTTTCCATTAAACACCTAAATTATGTTTATTTTTGTCAATGAATTTATTAAGAAAGACTACTACTTAATCAAATCAGTGGCTTCTATGAGAATGAAGTAGTTGTCTCTGCAGGCATACTTAATATCTATGTATTTTTAACTAAGCAACATGGCGGAACATGAAATTTTACTGATTACAATTTAACTTAAATAAGATGTAAACAAAATTACGTAATAACATATAGATTCTTTCGAATATTAAGAGGAAAACATACATCAGAGTATGTGTTTAGCATACCTATTAACATTGCCAAATCAAGGTTTAGATACATAAACATACTTGCATAAATTATCTGATGATTACGTATCTACATCTTGTGCTACATATTTAAAAATAAATTAAGCTCTATATAAAAAATACAGGAAAATGATATACAAAGTAGAAACATTTCCGAACACGGTCTAGGTATTTGTCTCAACAAAGTTTAACAAAACTTCACGATGCATTTTAATGCGCTTAGGCAAAGAACCTTGAATATCGAGCTTCATTTATATTCATATATTATATATATGTGTTAATAAAAATGGTACAAATATAATAAATGATTTCACAAACATTATTTCATGATAAGTACGTACTAGCTATAAATATTTTCAAATTAACGAGCTAGCACGTTGCTTCACTTTATTTTAAGATAAAAAAATATTTTATAGAATAATAGAAATATGTATAAAGTACTCAACCATCTCTTTATGTTGTTTGTCATTGGTACTTTATACGTTATGTCTCACATTACAGAATATGTAATCTATACATATAATAAAATTGTAACTAAGCCGAATCTGTACATTAAGATATTTTTTGGAAAATCTTATTGAAATAAACATTATTATCGATACTGAGGCCGAATCTATAGTTTTTAGAGTTTTTGTCTGTCTGTCTGTCTGCTACCGTATCACAGAATAACCACTGGTGGGATTTTGATGAAATTTGGTATGGCGATAGCTGGTTATTAGGGTCAACATATAGGACATATAGGATATTTTTCAACGCGGGGAAATATCTCATTTTTGGAAAAAAATACAAAAACTGCAATGTAAGAATATACTAATATGTAAAACCTAAGAATTCGGTTTTTGGTCATCTGAACGCGTGCGGAGCCGCGGGCAATGCTAATGTAAAATATAAAATAGTGATTCAATCTATCACATTTATACAGATAAATAAAATTGAAGTGTCTGTAATGTCAAAATAACTTACGTTTTATTAAATGCATATGAAATTGTATACGATACTTATAAGAAAAACACAATTTTTAAAATTTTCGTCTGTCTGTCTGTTTGTTCCGGATAATCTCTGAAACGGCTGGACTGATTTTGACGGGTCTTTCACTGGAATATAGCTGATGTTATAGGGAGTAACATAGGCTACTTTTATTTTGGAAAAAGAATTAGAATAGCTCAAAAAAATTAAAACGTACCTAGGAACGAACCCGAGCGAAGCGAGGGTAAGTCGCTATTATATTATATATGTATATGTAAGTGTAAATATTTATTTATTTCTTAGAACTTATATGAGCTTTCAGATTTATTTTTTAACTAGGAGTACCCGCGGTCCCCACGTTCGCCACGGTCGCCCACGTTCAAACTTCCGATATAAATATCAGTTTTACAATATATACCTATATATGTATGTATGGAATAATATATATGTATGGAAGTCTGCCCAATTTGTTGACGTTTATGATTTCTGCTCTGCTTTCTTGGGTAGTAATATGATAATATATGGCCTTCCTCAATGTACGGGCTATTTAATGAAATTTTTTTTTCAAATCAGTTTAGTAATTCCTGAGATTAGCGCGTTCATACAAACAAACTCTGTATTAGTATACATTATGATGTTGCATAGTGATTTTTAACTAAGCTTTGTTTGCTATAATAAAAATTAATTTATAAAAATGAGAAAACCTGACTGCGTGAATAGCGAACTAAAAAGATGAGTATAAATTGAGGACGGAATATAGTATTATGTAAATAAAAATATTTTTTTATTTACATATTTTTAGTTTTGGTCAGTTAGACATTTTTAGTTTTCTCGACATTCTCAAAGTGTCCAGGGACACGAGACCATCCACGACTAAGGTCCCGGGACTTCAAGATTTCTCAGAATAAAATAAAATGTCTGTTTGGCGAGATGTATCAATAAAGCTATTTTAGTAAAAATCAAGATATTTTATGTTGCAAATTAAAAAAGTATAGTCTAAACAGTTTTTATATTTAATTATTATAATTACAAATTTAGTTTTTGGCATTAAAATCTTATAATTAATTATAAAGCTAACTTAAAAATGATTCAAAAACACCAACTCCTTTAATGTTGCTCTTGATTTTGTTGCTATAATTTTAGGTACATTTTCTGCGATTTGTGTTTCATTTGACTTTGAAACGAGTCGTCGGGTTCGTTGTGTACAGAAGAGCTACTGGTACAAGGTTCGGGGTCCATTATTTACAATTCTGGAGTTTGGATACGAGGGATATTTACGAAAAGTCTGCAATACAGTTCTTCCGCAAACGCAATAAGTGCAGTTCGAAAGCTGAGACAACTATTTAACTAAATATTTAACAATAATTATAATGGAACTCGAAAATTTTAAAGTTTAAGTTTATTAGAAAATTAAAAGTTATACATATTTGTTATATTATTATAGAATGTTATAGTTCAACACCGTTAACTAGATTACTTCTATGTTTTCAAATCTACTTATGACTATTATAATACATATAATGTATGTAGATTATAGAAAAAAATGTGAATTAGATCTATAATGCCGTGTAATAATTAATTATATTATTGTACGTGAAATATTCTTAATTTAAATAATATAATTTTTAATAAAGTTAAATATTATTTCATATATACAAACCGATATATATGCAAATTAAACAAAACGATTGGCCATGTTAACGTTCACACAAAATACAATTTTATATCTACATTCTACATAATTTTATTTTGTCCATTTATATAATTAGTATACATTTATATACTACGAGTCATAATATATCATATAATCTCATAATCTAAAATGTGGTCTAGTTTTATTGTTTACAATTATAGTTTAAAATGTGAAAAATAAAAACTTAT